TATCTCTTCAGTGTGAGTTTATCTGCTCCTTATTTTGACCCTCCACCTCCAATTCTCCCTCCCTTCCTTTCCTTTCTTCCCATAATTTCTTTTATGAAAGGAAAACCATTAGAACTAGAAATTAGAACTGCATTATCAAACTCCTTTGGTCATTGTGGTTTCTAAATTAGGCACAGAAAGTTTACCCATTGCACCAGGCACCCTGGATGTACAGCAGTTTGCAGAGGTGGCAGCCTGTGCTATCAGATGCAAAGTGTTCCATATTAAAATAATCCACAACTGAGAATTTTTACTGTTTTCTTCACCACTAGCATGAGAGGAATGCCACTGCCAAGAAATAGTCACTCTATGTAGCTGACGATGATTGAACATATATTGAGGCATGCAGGTCTAAACCTTCAGTAGGTGATTCCCAGACCTCTCTCAAATGTTTGGTCCACCTAATGTCAAGGTTGTACATTAATGTTTACAAAAACCACCAATCAATGTAGTTTGCTGAACTAAATATCAGTAAACAACTGGGTTAAAAGCACAGGGACCTTATAAGGACACCTAATAAAAAATTATGGCTGTGGTTTATAACAGTGGCCCAGATTAGCCCGTCTCATACTATATCCTGTGTGGAGGATAGTGCTGGGAGGAACTGTCTTTGAGGGTCCATTTGCAGAATTCTATTCATATTCTCTTATTGGGCTTTAGTCCCTCCACTGTAGAAAAGCCATGAAGCCTACAACTAAAGCTGCCAAGTCTGCCTGGATCCACAGGGATCTGTGGGAAGCCACAGCCATCTATGCAGAGCTCCTTTATTTTGTAGATTCCAAGGGCAGAAAGAATGATTGCGATCATCTAGTCTGACCTCCTATATAACACAGGCTGTAGAAGAATTCGTAGAGCGGATCTTTTAGAAAACCTTCGAATCTTGATTTAAAAATTGTCAGAAATGGAGAATCCACTACAACCTTTGGTAAGTTGTTTCAATGGTTAATTACTCTCACTGTTAACAATATTTCCAGTATGAATTTGTCTACTTTCAACTTCTAGACATGGGATCGTGTTACACCTTTCTTGAAGAAGCAATTATTAAATATTTGTTTTCCATCTAGATATTTCTAGACTGTAATCAAGTCACTTCTTATCCTTCTCTTTGTTAAGCTAAATAGATTGAACTTCATTAGTATATAAGGCATCTTTTCTAATCTTTTAATCATTCTTGTGGCTCTTCTCTGAACCCTCTCCAGTTTAGCAACACCCTTCTTGAATTGTTGTCACCAGAACTGGACACAGTATTGCAGTAGTGGTTGCACCAGTGCCAAATACAGTGGTAAAATAACCTCTCTATTTCTAATCAACATTTCCCTGCTTATGCATACAAGGATTGCATTAGCCCTTATGGCCACAGTGTTGCAATGGGAGCTCATGTACAGCTGATTATCTACTATGTTCCCCAAATCCTTCTCAGAGTCACTGCTTCCCAGAGTCCCTGTCCTGTAAGTATGGCCTACATTTTGTTCCAATTGTATACATTTACACATTTAGACATATTGAAACACAAATTGTTTGCTTGTGCCCAGTTTATCAAGCTATCCAGATTGCTCTGCATCAGTGATCAGTCCTCTTCATTATTTACTACTCCTCTAATTTTTGAATCACCTGCAAACTGTATCAGTGATAATTTTATGTTTTCTTCCAGATAATTCATACGTATGTTAAAAAGCATAGAGCAAGACCCCTGGGGGACCCAACTAGAAACACATTCATTCGATGGCTGTTTATATTACATTGAGACCTATTAGTTAGCCAGCTTTTAATCCAATTAACGTGTGCTATGTTAATGTTAATCAGTCTAGTTTTTTAATCACTATGTCATGAGGTATTAAGCTTCCACATGAGCTCAGGCCTGCCAGTACCCTGGGTGTATTGGAGTGATGCTTCCAAATAGCCACCCTGGCCATGCCTGACCCTGCCACCTCTGGATCAGAGAGGCTGTGCAGAAAAGATAATAAAGTCCAGGCAGTAGGTTTTTTTTTTTTTTAAGGAAAGTTCCTTAAGGCCTGAAGAGGTATGATGTGATGTGCTTCTCTCTCTCTCACTTGCCCCCCCCCCCAAATTCCTTCCTGGCCCACTCACTTACACGTACCTGTCCACCCATTCCTGCCTGGCCCCCTCAGTCTTTGCCTATTCTCTCAGCACCAGTCACTGGTACCATTTAAAGAGGCTTCTCTGAGGTCTGGGAATAAGGGGAATGAGTCCCTATTTCCATATGGTAGAGGGGAAAAATTCTATTTGCAGGAGGCCCCCTCTTTATGCAGATCTAGAGGGCAGGATCTGCATTAAATTTAAAGCTAAGGCTACATTTTTATGAGTGAAATTCACTCCTGTGCAGAGGGCCACCACAAGGCCCATCAACATCATTGGAAATTTCACTGGAAATTCAGGCAGGCCAATCCTCACTTACAGACAACCCTCAAACCTGAAGCAAATACTCACCAGCAACTACACACCACACCACAGAAATACTAGACCAGGAACCAATCCCTGTAACAAACCTCGTTGCCTTCTCTGTCCCCATATCAATTCACTTGTGTGTGACTATCAAAGGCGTTAAATATATTAGTATATATTCAGGCCAATTCACTTGTGTTTAAATAGAGATCAGAGGCAATGTTAATTGTATTGTTTTTGCCTATGTTTATCCTGTTGTTTACTATTACATTACATTTACATTATACATACCTAGTAATTAAATAACCCTAGATCAAACTGTGTATTAATGTAAGAGTGTATCAGGTGTTAGAACTTCATGAAAACTAACAGAATGTTACTTGTATTGTTTTCACTTATCTATTCCTATTATAATGTAATGACAAGCATTTCCATTATGTATATCCCTGTAACTAAATAACTCACTGAATGCAAATGAAGAGAGCTAAATTCAAAGAAACTGGCCATTGTTTGGGTACAGACACTTCTTAGATTGTTGCCTGTGAAAAGAAGCTATAACTACTGATTCAAAGAGAGATCCTTTATCTTTGGACTGTTTGGATTCTAACAGGGTGGAATAACTGAATGAGAAGACAGAGATCCCCAGTTATTCTGGGTATCCCTGAGAGACTTCTGGGAAACTGGCAGATTGCAACATCTGTACTATCATTTTGGACTTACAAACTTTGACTCACATGTTATTATATTTTACCTGCTTTAACCATTCAGTAACTCTAATTCTTTTTTCTTAGCTAATAAACCTATAGTTCTTTTACTATAGAATAGACTGCCAGCGTTGTCTTTGGTGTAAGATCTGGAATACCAGTTGATCTGGGGTAAGTGACTAGTCTCTTGGGACTGGGAGCAAACTGAGGTGATGTGATTTTTGGTTTATGTGACCATTACCACTAAGTCCAATTTATCTGGATGGCAAGATAGGCTAGAGAGCCTAAGGCAGTGGTTCCCAAACTAGGGGCAACGCTTGTTCAGGGAAAGCCCCTGGCGGGCCGGGCTGGTTTGTTTACCTGCCGCGTCTGCAGGTTCGGCCAATCGCAGCTCCCAGTGACCGTGGTTCACGGCTCCAGGCCAATGGGGGCTGCGGGAAGGGCAGCCAGCATGTCTCTCGGCCCATGCCACTTCCCGCAGCCCCCACTGGCAGAGAACGGTGAACCGCGGCCACTGGGAGCTGCGATCGGCTGAACCTGCGGATGCGGCAGGTAAATAAACCGCCCTGACCTGCCAAGAGCTTTCCCTGAACAAGCGTCGCCCCTAGTTTGGGAACCACTGGCCTAAAGGGACTGTCTGTGGCTCCATGATAAGACTAGTATAATGATCCAGGCGTTCACATTTGTTACTGGTTTGGTGAAATCTAATTATAGAACATACCACCATTTTGGAAGGGTGACCATTTGTCCCGTCTTGGCCAGGACAGTCCCTTTTTTAAGCCCTGTCCCGGATGGCCTGATTTTTTTCCCAAAAGGAGGCATTTGTCCGTTTGCTCTTGCTGACTTGATCAGTTGGCAAGAGCAAACAGGACAAATACTCACTTTTGTGAAAAAGTGGAGTGTGGAGGGGGTGAGAAGAGATTCCAGACCCCCACAGTGGGGAGGCAGGGCTGTGGGGGCAGCAGTGTTCCAGCACATGTGGGGGATCCCCCATTGCACAGGGGGGGCCCTCAGGGTTCCAGCGACTGGGAAACAGCCTGGCACATGGCAGGGGGGAACGACGACACAGGATTACAGTGACGGGCAACAGCATGGCGGGGCCCTCCGGCGAGCAGCTGGGGGTGTCCCATTTTCTCTTTCGGAAATATGGTCCGCCTACATTTTGGGGTATCTGCCCTTGTTTTCTGACAGTCTGCCCTGAGACAGGCACTCACATTTGAGAGTCATTCCAGACAGCATGACAGGTACATTATTGGATAATGGGGGAGTGTTCTTATTCATCACTTGCATTATTTTCTGAACTGCTTAATGTCACTAATAAGTCAAAAAACTACATTTATTCATAATGCATAAAATTGAGATCAGAGCTTTATTTATAGTAGCCTTTCAAGCTCTGGCTGTTGTAGCATACGTAACAAATTTCAGACTACATTTCTGTAGAAGCCAAGACGAAAAGCTGATCTACAGAAACAATTTGTCAAACCTGGCAAAGCAGAAAATGTGTCAGCTCCTTTTTACAGCACTTCACTGTCATTTTTTTATGGTCTCCTATTGTTCAGAACGTTCCTGATGTCTTGGTTATAAAAACAGGGAGTTCAAATTGCCATAAATTAACCTAACTCTTACAGTAAATTTTACAGTCCTCCATTGATCAGAAGTGCAGGTGAATGCCCTCCAAATCTTTACTGTCTTGGCAATTGTCTCACAAAGCCATTACAGATCCGAGCAGGGAAAGGACTAACTCAATCCAGGAGATTTTTAGAAGAAAGCAAGCTGAAGCAAAGAAGGCAGAAAGTAGGTTATAAATCAGTTTGTCATGAAATTAAACTATTACGTGGAAAACAAATTATACTATAAAGATTAATCAAGTAACTTTATTCTGCAGCAACCTATATGAGCATCTGGGTAAACAGAAACCTCATGAAATGTTTTGCTGCAAAGCTGACTTCAATAATATATGCAAATGATAAATTCAACAATTCTGCTCACTGCCAGAAATAAAATAAATGGCTTCAGGAGCAAACAACACTGATTCATACTGTGCTCAAGCACTAGACAACCAATCTATTAAACTACACAGGAGAAAAAAAATCAAAGCAGCTTTGTTATCTTACTTGTGACACCTTAGTTAAATCTCAGGCATTACCTCTTTATACCAGCATAAATATGTAGCCTTCTACATCTTTTATAATGTGGTTACAGACACAAAAATGTTATAGTCAAAAACAAGAGCTAGTTCAAGGAATTTCAGACTTCAAAATAGGCAAGATACAAAGCTAAAATTCATATGTTCCTTTTTCAGTTATGAATACTTTCACTAAAACATAAATATTTTAACATATATTAATTTTTTCTGACATTCAAAATTGTAAAGTCAATATGGCAGAATTATTGTTAAAAGCACATATGTACAAATATTCTTTTTTCCATACGTAAAGTATTTGGCATAATTATAACAATCTTACTGCATACACAACTGTTTGCTTCTTTTTTCACATAATGGTACGCTCCTCATTAAAATTAACCAGTTATGTACAAAAATACTTGAACATTTATTATAGAAAACCTCTATAGCTACCATCAACAGCACATACCTGCTGAAGGTTTCATTGAGAGAATATAAAAAGTGGTCACTTTCTTCAAGTTAAGCAATCAACAAAGCAAACAATTAAAATCAACATGAGCTTCCCCAAAAAAGGAGAATATTTTTAACATGATTTAAAATACAGTTCATAAATCTGTTGTCAACCAAGTGTTAAAAACAGTAAGAAAAAGAAAGAGAGCTACGAAAAGTACATACACAAGGTGCTTTTTCCACACTCCTACGACTGGGCATTAGCTTTCCATAGCTTTACGGATGCTATCTAGTGAAATTCAACCTAGAACTGTCTACTACATCTTCCTTCAGTAAAGATGACAATGATCAACTAAGTTAAAACAAAACAAACAATAACAAAAACCTCCACTCATAAGAATATACATGAAGAGCTGTTAGGAATTTTGCTAATTTGTGCAGAATTGTGAATTAATGCCCTGAATCTTTTAAAAATTTATTGATACATACCCAGTGATTCTTATTCTTTAAATTTGTTCACTCACTGCATTGATTTGATACTAATCAGTATCGATTCTTGTGTATCCTTAGTAACGGGACACATTCATTTGTGCCTCTAGAATATCTGGATATTTGTTCTTCTGGTACAGAGGGTTTTTTTTTTAAGTTAACTTTCAAAGACAGGAGAAAACCTCCAACTAACTGTTAATGAGATTTTTTTTCCCTGTATGGGCTAACTGAAAGAGTAAAGGTAAATCGCACCATAAAAAGAAAGAAGTGCACCAGATACAGGAGATAAGCTACTGTTATAGGACTAAAGAGCTTATCAACAAACAACTTAAGGGGGGGAGGGATAGCTCAGTGGTTTGAGCATTGACCTGCTAAACCCAGGGTTGTGAGCTCAATCCTTGAGGCAGCCATTTAGGGATTGGGGGCAAAAATTGGGGATTGGTCCTGCTTTGAGCAGGGGGTTGGATTAGATGACCTCCTGAGGTTCCTTCCAACCCTGATATTCTATGATTCTATGAACTTAATTCCCAGAAAGGTGATCTACACTGAATGAAATGTGGATATTTGTTACTCTTAAAAAGCAACACAAAAGTAGTATTTTGTTTCAAGAACTCACTCTAACCCATGCCCTTACAACTTTTTACTGCGGGGTAACTTGCATTAAAACCCCTCCTCTTCCTCTGCCACCACCACCAAATTGACCAACCCCCTGCTCATGGGGAAAGGGGAACAACCTTCAGCCTACTTGCAGAAATGTCCTAGCCTACAAACAATGTTGTTAGAAAGCGTGCATTTCTTTCTCGTGATTAGCTCAGTTAGCATAGCCTACGTTTTGTAAAAAGCATACAACTAATGTAAATGAGAGCTTGTGGGGTTTTAGATTTAATTAAATTATATTTTATAAAAATGAACATAAGATATCAAAAAGCTATGCATCCATATTTACCACCTTGAAATTAACAAAATTCTCTCATTCATGCTTCCTGTAATACCTGGCAATCAAAATTATTAATTTTATTTAATAATGTGCAACATAATATTAATAAGCATTTAAAAGAAAATTGGGTAAAATATTAAAGTGCCTACACTAAATGTATTTAAATCTTTTTAAATATTATTTCATAAACGGTAAAGAAGTCATTGCAAGTACATATAAAAGTGACTTCTTATAACTGGGACACTTTCCGAGGAAGAGGCCTGGGCCGAGGAAGCTGTTCAGTCCTCCGGCTACTGTTTTCCTGATTGTTTGGCCGCGCCAGCAGGGGTTTGGGTGGAAGTGCTGGTGGATCTGCAGTGACAGGGATGGAGAGGCTGTGAGGTAGCGGAACAGGCCGTCTCAAAGTTCGTTCATAAACGCTGTAAGGTGGCGGCGTTTTACTTTCTTTTCTCATTGGCTCCTCAGAAACACTGTAGTTTGGAATAGTCTGTTCACTCCCTTGACTTTCAAAGCCAGACGTTTCTGATGTGCTGCATCGGCTAAGCGAAGAGATTCCACTGCTGTAACTTCCTGACAAGACTGGGGAGTTGGATATGAGCCCCGAGGAATGACATTCCACTGGAGATGGGGTAAATGATTGCATGGATCCCTGCAAAGAAATAAAGAGAAGGATTCATGTGAAGGAGAATTAAGAGCAATGTAAACACTAAAAACCCGGGTAGATTTTTTTTTTTTTGGCACAGATTCTTGGGGGCTTGATAGATGGAACATGTATTTATGGTTGAATTAAGATCCAGTAAAAAACAAGTCAAAGCTTGTCTATAGAATGCTTATATTTTCAAACTATACATCAAATACTGTTCATGTCAACAATTTATTTTAATGGAAGTAAGCTATATTAAAATGATGTATTCCTATCATCAGTCTCCGGAAAAATCTGTCAGTGTTTAAAAAGAAAACGTTCATAGTACTGACGATGGAATATGTATCCATAGCTTGCAGTGTAACTAGTAGCACGGTGCCCTCTACTGCCAGAACACTGTATCTACATCACATTCAGTACTGCTACTTCAGTCTCCGGTTTAGAACGTATTTACAGCTTTCCTCCCATTTTTTGCAATGAATCATGCTGTAAAAAAAGCACACATGAAGCAGTGTTATATCTAATATTACATGTATGATTTTTTTAAAATTAACTACTTAATAATTTTGTAACACAGGAATGATAGCTGTGTAAATGAGAATAAACTTTTATTGAATTCCCCTGCATTTATCAGTGCGGTGTTTGGTTTCAGGTCCGTAACTTATTACCAGATACCATTAACAGTGCAGGTAGCTTCAAATTCTCCAGTGTGCATCAATGCTATTTAAAATTTTTAGCATCTTCTGCTTGTAAAAGCCACAGGACTTCCAGGATTAGAAATATACTCAAATCACCATCACCAGCCTGGTTTAGAAGTATTGTTTGCCCTAAGCCAAGTGGTGATGAGCCAGCTCAAGCTATTGTATATGTGATAAATATTATTTACTAAAGATATTATCCACTAAGATTCTCACTCATGAGTCCTAGCTCCTCAGCACAAGATTGGTCAAACTCCCTCAACTCTTAAAGAATATTTATCCTCAAGAACAATAGTACTGGAGTAGAATATAAGACAGACCCTCTATTGGCAGTCATGTGCCACTGTGGACACCTGAAGTCAGAGGTATTGAGTTCTTGGTCCTCAGAAAGGCAGAGCCTCCCCCATAAGGTTGAAGACAACAGGTTCTGAGAGAGGGCTAGGATCTCTCCCATGTACTCCTGTTGAGGCCTCCAAATCAAGGCAGCTCCACATTATGGTTTCCAGATTTCCCCTTTCTACATTGATGTTGTAGAAGTGGGGAGAGTGAATCCAGCTTTGCTGGTTCACTTGTAATCTTTTGCAAGGATATTATGAAGCCTACTCAACTTCAAGGCTCTGCTTGATTCCTACATTGGCAGATATAGGATTTGTTGGCCGAGACAGACCGGTTTTTGCACAGATGACGACACTCAAACGTCAGTGCTCTTGGGGCATGAAGTTCTATCCTTGATGCAGAGCCTATATCGTGCTACCTTATGTCATTTTTCTATTGGGATATTTCTGAAGCTTCTTACCTTCCAGGAGTGAGAATCCTGTCAGTGAGAATCATTAGAGAAGGGAAAAATACCTATAATTATAGTTTGCTGTAGATTTTACTCCAATAGGTTTCTTATGCATTTACCCCACATAGAATTTGGGGATTTTTAGAACTGGTTGGATTTTTTTTTTTTTTTTAAACAAAAAACCAAACCTGTTTAAAATTTTCACAATCTCTTTTTTACTGTTACTTTTTTCTCTCCTCAGCTCTAGCGATCTTTTATTAAAGTGTCTTAGTGCTTGTACTTTGTTTCTGTTTTTTCTCTGGAGCAATTTTTTCAATGATGATTAAATATTTTTAATTGGTCTCTCCTGGGAACTCTGCCGCCGACATAAGTGAAGGATCGGACTTGCAATGTTTGTTGGGCAGCATTAATACCAGGCAGGGGATGGTGCACAATGGTCAAAGAGGGAACATGACACACACTACTCCATTACTGCTATCCTTGTGGGTCAAAATTCTTCATGAACTAACAGAGTTTTGTTGGTCGGACGCTAAGGAGTTAAGAGACAGGAAGGAAAATTTTAGCAGAACATCTTCAGGGAAGCAGAATCACAGTAATTTTCCCTTTTTGATTTTGATTTCTTTACAGTAGAACAGCAATTGTACTGAATTGTGAGGAATTGAATGTGTTAGGAAAGGTGTAGACTTCTAGTGATTTGCTGAAAACTTAGTTTATCCTAAGCATTTTTATATAATGCCCATCACTGCAATAATTAGGCACCAGTAGTATACTGTCCATTAGAATCTCCTTATTCTCCTCTGACTGTCCTGGAAGTTAAGAGGCCACACACTACTACAGGCCAGAGGCTCACAATTCTGATGAAGAAAGGAATGAAAGAAGCTTGGGTTTGAAAACCTGTAAGAAATATTATTAGTTTTTAATTATGACTTACTCATAAACTCAGGACGTATTATTATTAAAGCATGAAATATACAACAACAAACACCTGAAGAGATAAGAAAAGACACTACACATACAAAAGGTTTTGCTAAGTACTAAATATGTTAGACTTATGCTAGCTAGTTTGAGAGACAATCCAGACACAGCAGACTCAATCCTCAGCTGAATAGTCGTGGAGGGAACGTGGATCTAAAACAACTTTCTGTTCCCCTGATCTTGGGCTGGCTGGTGCTCAGCTGCTCTGTTCCAGACTAGGATCAGACAGCTGTGAGCACTGCAGTGGAGTGGAGAGAGGTGCTTAGAGCTGGCTTTCTGCATCCCCACCCCATGTCGGGGGAATTCTTGGCTGCCCATCTAGGGACTGAGTCAAAGCCCACTGAAGTCATTGGGAAGATGGAAAAATTTTCATTTACATCAATGGAATTTAGATTAGATTCTTAGGGGCAACTTCCTCAGGCAATGCAAAGGGGCTGGAAGAAGGGCCAAAGATTGAGTCCAACATATGGCAGAGGAAAAATGAAGTGGGTTTTACTTAATTGTCACTGCGGGCTAAGAAAGTTGGTGTATTCTGGAAATCCTGCTAAACTGCTTCCTTCAGCCAATATAAATGAAAAGTTATGCACCACACAACATAGACTTAACAAGGCCCACGGAATAGGCCAGTACCTTCATTGGAGATCTGCCAGCAGGAGAAGGGGAAACCGAAGCCACATGCCTTGCTGGTGAAGCTGTGAAGTTAGAAAGGTTTCAATTCAATTTCACAGAAACTAGACATATTTTAGAATGCCACCCTCATGAAAACCATAAATCAAGTTTATCACAGAAATTCTACCAGATACAAAAGGTCACCAGTATGTTTAGATGGTTCACAGGAAAAAAAAAAGATACAAAGGTATTCTTGGGAAAGCGTTGTTAATGGAAAAGAGATGATCCAATTTTTACTACCCAATACCTCCCCCTGTTCCATTCTGTGCATCTTGCTCAAAGGCTGTGCATGCTTTAGAAGATTTCATTTGTTTTCAAAGTTATGCAAAGGTTATCTTACAAGAGAATACATACAGCATGAAATATTTATGCACTCATCTCCCCTGGCAATTTTTACATCATTCTAAACTAACTGGCAACGTGATTGAAAAAATTTCCTTATCATGCTTTCTTCCCCTCCCTTTGCTTTTTCTTTTAAGGACAAAATTCTATATGTATGTGTTAAAGAAGCAACAACACATGACAAAACATGCTTCTGTCAGAAGCCTGAAGGTCCATGGTGTATTGTGAGGCATGAGGATAAATGGAAAATATCTTCAATCACTTGAAAATAATCATACTTAAAGTAGCATTTAAATATCTTTTCTTTTAAATTGACAAATGATTTTTGAAGGGCAAACTGGTTAATGAAACTGAAACCATGGACTTACATGACAGCCTATACAGCACCACCCAATCCTTCTTTTCATAGTGCCCAGTTTGTGATTACTAACCTCTAACCATCATAAGGTCAAAAGACAAAAAAAAATCAATACTCTCTTTTGGTATTAACATGTTTGACTCTAATAAGTCATTCAGTGAAGATGCAGGATATTGAAAATGGAATGTTACAAGAGTACAGAATGTTAACAAGGTGAACAACTGCAGTTCTACAGTCTTCCATCCACAGCAATCAACTGATAAATTAGCCTGCCAAGGGAGTTAAGTGTTAATCACAGTGGAAAGAGTCAAAACTATCAAGTAAATCATTTTGTATTGGAGGATGGCCTGAAATGTTCATATACTCACCAGTTTGTGTGGGTCTTGGTGGCACAGGGGGAGACATAAGCTTTCCACTTTCTGACATGTTCCTAGCTTCTTTCCCATTGTCCAGGCTCCAGCTGCTGGGGGTGGTGTTTACAGCTGGAAGAGAATAACAATGCTGACACATCTGCTAATATTTCCAGCTCTCAATTCCAACCTCTCCACCTTTCCTAGGTCCATGAAGATTACAAATATGTAGAGTTAACATGTTAACCAACTTAACAGCATGCCTGAAAAAACTTGCATGATTACAATAGCATTTCAAAAAGCACTTAAAATCATGCATGTTAGACTCCTGGCCTGCTTAATGTATGTACGTGGTCGATAGGTGAATTTGAGATTGTACAGCAAGTTGGACCTTATCAGCAGTAGCAGCTGAAAGAGCACTCTGGTGCTTTGCACACGCAGATCCAGCTACAGAGAGAAACAGACTACGATCCCATGAATACAGTCAGGGCTAGTCTACACTAGAAGCACTACATCAGGTGCAGCTGCACCGATGCAGTTGCGCTGCTGTAGCACATCTGGTGAAGACGCTCTATGCTGATGGGAGAGCACTCTCCTGTCGGCATAAGTACTCCGCCTCCTCGAGAGGCAGAAGCTAGTCAGTGGAAGAGCATCTCTTGCTGACACAGCGCCAGTGTGGACAGTGCTTTGGTCGCTGTAACTTGCGTTGCTCAGGGGGATGACTTTTTCACACCCCTAAGCAAGGTAAATTACAACGACTTAAGCGATAGTGTAGACCTGCCCTCAGATTCCCTCTGTAACAGGCTCCCTGTTTAAAGAGTTCTATGTGGAATGAAACAGACTGTTCCTAGGCAGTTTCTTCTGAGTCGCTTTATATATGGAAAGACTGGAGAAGGAAACTGACTAGAATTCCAGCCAATATTCCCAAAGAATATCTTCAATTTTAACACACTTCTGTTGCTCTGGTATAGACAAAAAACAAAACAAACAAAAGAAACCAACCCAACCAAAACAACCGAGAGAGAGAGGGAGGGAGAGAGAGCGCGCAAAGTGGAAGGGGAGAGGAACTGAACAAAAATACATAGGCCGATGAAGAGAAGAAATAAAAAAGGTTAAAATACATTAAAAATAGCACAAAGCAAAAAATGGAGTGAGGGTAGCATATGACCCTTACTTTGTATCCATGGTCCAAAGGTTCTAATTAAATATGTAATTTTACTTGGTCGCAGATGACTTTGGCACCCTTGACTTGTATAAGATCACTGTTTGGTATTTATCGGTGTCATTTTTCAGGGCTTGTGCATCTTTAATTGAATTGTAGTGCATGGAATAGAGATTACTGCACAAAGCATAGAATATTCTCTATGACGGGAAGCAGAGAGGTCTCATACTATAATGTTCTCCACACTTGTCTGACAAAAAGACATTTAACACTGGCAGGCCCAAAAGAGATCTTAAAAATTTCAGTTTTCCTTAAAGCTACCCTCTAGTTAATGAAAAATCTACGACCTTCAAAAAAATAAAGACTACAGAATTGGTAGAAGCCCTTTTAAGCTGAACCATCTGTTGACAATACATTCAAAGCACTTCCAACATATAGGGAGCACAAGCTCTATCTATACCATTCTTCTCTTTGCCTGTCCTCCATACTTGTGTGCAAACGTGGTACTGAAACACAGCAGGACCTTGTGCTCATTTACAAGAATGGAGTGAAAGTTAGAGTACAGTGTTAATGTTATTCACTATTTCTATTGCAGTACATTTAAGGACTACCACATTCCTACTCTACCAGGCACTGTACAAATAACACAAGGATTTGTACAAACAACACAAGGATAGTCCCTACCCCAGAGATCTTACAATTTAGAAAATACAGAACAGGGAATAAATACACAACTGAGGGGAGCGAGGTGTGTTTAAACCAGTATCCAATTGGTTTCTATAGTCATGTACCCAGATGTTCATGTGCCCAGATAATAATGACAAATCTGATATTGGCATGAACCAACCTTGACAGTAATCCATTTGCAGAAATATTGCTCATAACCTGTCACTACATTAAAAAACAAAACAATGACAAAAATTTCCTGACATTTTATTACACTTTCTAAAGCAAAAACATTTTATAATTTGTTCCCTGTAGATATTACAAAGAACTAATTTGTAATGAGTGAACAATTTTATTCAAAGGGGGGTAAATAATGAAATTGTTTGCTTGGAGAACAACTAATTCATGAACTAAATTAAAACAAATGTATTTAAAGCACCAAAATAAGATTTCTTGTATATTTAATTTTCCAGTCCTAATACCCAGGATTCAGGTTTACCTGGCAACTTACCATTTACATTTTAATATTCATTTGTTCGTAAGTACACATAACATATATTATGCTTTTAATAGGTACCGATTAAAATGCATTCCAGTGAGAACATTTTTATCAATCTTTTTGACTAGTTCTCCTGAGGAGTGCTTCTGCAGTAGAGGGTTGACCCTGAGAGCAGGACACAGTAATCAGCCTATTTCCTAAAAGACCATTTTGTCTTTTTATTTCCTAATATGTAATAGAGACATTTAACATATTGATGGTAACACGTTACTTCCATCTAGCAGCATGATCTGTCCTTACTTTAAAAGTGACCAGGTGGGCATGACCCCTGCTAACTGGCTCCCTAGGCTCCAACCTCGTGGTTGAGTAAACTCCCTAAGATGGCCAGTTCTTCAGCTCCCAGACCAGCATAATTGAAATTCTGTAAAGACCAAAATATTTCTGCTGCCTGGACATTTTGGATTTTTTGGTCCCATGAAAAATTCTGGTTTTTGAACTTTCATCCCGATTCAAGTGAAAAAATATTAGAAAACTCAATTTACTTTGCAGGATGGAAATTCTACTTCCTGGTCGGCGCTAGTTATAATTTTCTTTTGAAATGTCTGATTTGAATTAATCTGTTTTACTGTAAACCATTTGGAGTGTGTCTGTATATTACAGAGTGATTTCAGTGAAAAGGTTAGTGCTCTGTGTAATTACGCCAACAATACAGAAGCATCCTCATTTATATTTTCTTTATAGCAAATAATGGATGTTTCTTATTTACTTTAATATGGTAAAGATAATTAGATCTAGTTCCAGTAGCATTCCAGATATAAACATTACTAACTATACGTGGGGAGGAGCAGGGGTGAATTATGTATGGCTAAATGGGAAATGGATGTATCAAACTTCAGGGTTGCCTCCCATCCCAAGGCAAGATCATCTCAACCTCCCCTTTAGCCTCCAGATGAACATGTATCTTTCTCCCACTTCTGAGCCTTTAAACTTCCTCCCAAGTGAGCCAGTCCAGCCAGCTCAAGACCGTGCTAGCAGGCAGACAGCCAGCAGCAATGCCTTGCCATCTGCTGCTCCATCACTGACTCTTACTCCCTCCTGTCTCCTGGGCCCTTCTGAATGCAAGGCTCAGATCACAGGTACACTGTCTTGTCAACTGTTTGAAATGGGCCATCCTGATTATCACTACAAAAGGTTTTTTTTCACCTGCTTAGAACAGCCCACCTTAATTAATTGGTCTTGTTACAGTTGGTATGGCAACACCCATTTTTTCATGTTGTGTGTGTGTGTGTGTGTGTGTGTCTTCCTACTATATTTTCCACTGAATGCATCCGATGAAGTGGGTTTTAGCCCACAAAAGCGTACGCCCTAATAAATTTGTTAGTCTCTAAGGTGACACAAGTACTCCTCGGGGTTTTTTTTGCTGATACAGACTAACACGGCTACCACTCTGAAACCTGTCCTTTTCTTGTGAAGCACTTTGAGATGTATGGATGGGACGTGCTATATGAGATCTAGGAACTATTATTATTCACCAGCCTGTCAGGAGGAGTGGCATTCTAGAGTGACAACTTTAATTGTATCTTCACTGATACCCAGATTGGCAGTGGTACAGGATTCTACTCACCTTTCTCAGGGCCAGACAGGTTAGGATCACTTCGGGGCAAAGCACCATCTCCGATATGATTAAACAGCATTCTCTGGAAATTCAGAACAGTGCATTTTATGGGAAAAGACAATGGCAATCCAATGACCTTTTAAAATACAATTACATTAGTTTTGCAAAAACAAAATGTTCAAAAGAATTTGGCCCAAATTATTTAAATAAGGAAAATGATCTTGAAAACTGAGGTAATCCAAATATATGTCTACAGAGCTGGTAGTTTTGTATGTTTGTTTTTTGTTTATTAAAGAGGCATATTGGGGTAACCCCCCTGAGAACTTAAAATTGTATGGAAATGGGTAGAAAAAAATTGAGATTAATTCCTCCTTTTCGTAAACGTGTACATATTGGAATAATTTGAGACAGTTATTATTTATTGGCTTTGGCAGTATATAAAGCAAGTTCCCTGCTCCATTACAATTACAACTTAAGGCCCAATCCTGAAGTGAAATCTGTGTGCTTTGACTTCAGTTGGATAGCAAATGGGTATAGAGGTCCATTTGCAAAGATTTCATTGTAGGATCAGGATCTGAATTGGATACCAATATTTGGTGATGTCTAGGATGTTGCTATTTCCTTGGTACAGGGTGTTTTCCTAATTCTGCCCAAGATCTGACTCTTCATGGTAGCAGGGTTCCTTAGCTTTATAGTGGGTAAGAATTATCCCCTGTATTGTGGCAATTGCCTCCTACCTGAATATTGATTACTACAGAAATCATAGGAATACAATGCTATAAAATTATTCTAAGCTCCTAGGTGTTTCTATTAGCAACATTCACACAGCACCTCCACTTTTTGGAAATCTTTTTTGACATTAAATAACAGGAAAATAAAATAAACAGCTATTCCCACAAATAACTCAGATCTAATTTTTGAGGAAAATCTAAATAGAGTGCTGTGTTCTGCAATTTAAAGGCAGATCAGACCAACAATCAGTGAGGGAAAACCAATCAAGCCTGTTATCACATCTTCTTCCAGCATTAACTACTGCCCTTTACCAAGAGAGTGAGGCAATAAGTAAAAAAAGAATCTGGTTTCCTTTCTGAAGGAAAAGTCCAGGGGCTGAAAAAGCACGGAAGTCACTAGTAGGGATCAAGGAAACAAATTCATATGAAACACAAAGGAAAGAGGATAGATTGAAACAAAGAATGACAGTTATGTAGTTTGGAATGCTGTTGTAGCTGTGTAGGTTCTAGGATAAGAGAGAGACAAGGTGGAAAAGGTAACTTTTATTTGGCCCAGCTTCTACTGATGGAAGATACTAATATTTGGTTATGTCCAGGATGTTGAAGCTTATCAGGGCATCCAGGAACAACATCATAACCAGCATCAACTTCCTGGATGCAACAATCAGCTTCAACAATGGAACCCTACAGACAATTATATACAAGAAACACACGAATCACCACACCTACCTTCACAGATCCAGTAACCATCCCAAACACACCAATAAATCTGTTATCTACAGCCAGGAACTCAGATCCATAGAATATGCTCCAAAGATAGACCTTTAACATCCATATAACTGCCTTCATCAGACAAGGACACTCCATCAGAGAAGCAGATCACATCATGGAATGGGCCACCCAAATACCTCGAGAGAACTTGCTTTGATACAAAAACAAAAAACAAAACAAAAAAACCCCCCAAACCCCCCACCAACCGAAAACCCACCCAAACAAACCCCCAAACTCCAAACGCACACCCCTGCTTGTCACCTACCAACACATACGGAGAATCATCAAACAATTACAACCCATACTTGATCACATCCTGAAATAAGTCTTTCCGAACCCCCCCTCTTCTGGCCTTCAAACAAATCCTCAACATCATCAGAAGCAAGCTTCCCATAGACCAGGACACACCAATTCAAAGCAGCACCACACCCTGCCAGAACAACAGATGTAAAACCTACAGACAGAGGCTGATCAAGTTCTCCTGGGGCCCTGGGCCAGAGCAAGTGGAGGGGCTCCGGTGGCAGAACGGTGGCCCCGCCGCACCACTTCCGCCTGTGGTCCTGCCCCCATTCTTTCCCTTCTGCCTGCAGCCTCGCTCATGGTCCCACCCCATTCTGCCCCTTCCCCCGTAGCCCTGCTCCTGTTCCACCCATGGCCCCACCCCATTCCACCCCTTCCCCTGTGGCCCTAGCCCTGTTTCGCCCATGATCCCGCCCCGCCCCACTGTGGCCCCATTCCCCTGTTTGCTCCTTTTGGCTCCCCCTCACTGAAGCCCCAAGACCATAAAAGCTCTATCCCCACACCACAGCCCCAGCCCTGAAGCTGCGGCAGGAAGCGAGAACTCCTCCAATCCTGGGGCTGCAGCCAGGGTCCGGGCACTCAGACTTTCCCCACCCTGACCCCCAGGCCTTCTGCCGGGACTAGGTCCGGGTGCTGGGGCTTTCCCTGCCTTACCCCACCTGCTTGGTGCAGAGATAAAGGAAGAAGGAGGCATGCCTCAGGGCCCTATTTCACCCTGGGGTGTTCGCTACTTCCCATCACCCAACACAGATGTAATGAGGTTAAGTGGTGTCCATATAAAATAAGAACTACTAATTATTCCTCAAGAAAGGCTTTTAATGATTTTTTACTACAATAACAGCATAAACAAAATAAAAAAAGGAAAAGCAAAGACCAGCACTGAATGAGAATTAATACAAAAGGCAGATTATATTGAAGACAAGTGCCAGTACATGTAATATTGTGAACCATTTGCGAGTTTCTGAACAGTGACATTACATATGCTGGTCCTGGCAGGCTACAACCAAAGCCCGGAAGACAAGCATAAGTAAAGCTATTATTTACCAGCTTTATATTCCTGGTTACGCTTCAGTTGGCCATTTTCCGCACTGGTACAGACAGTCGAGATGTGCACGTCCCTTTGGTTCAGGGAGCGTGGGTCAGGTTTACCGAAAACACACACACACACACACACAGAGTCCCGTGCCTTCATTCTTTTTATCTGATCTGATGGCTGTGTTTTAGAACAGATCAACCAATCAGGGTGGGCCACATTGGTTATGTGGTTGCCCTAGTTGTATAATTGATGCATATTTAATTTTTATGTCCAATTGTTAGTTGTTCGTATAATTGAGGCCTAATTATTTTCTGTAGCCAATTAGATCTTGAATGTGGGTAATTTGGGGTTGATAAGTACATAGGAGTCAGCATAAATTGTTATCTGGTTGCAGTGTGTCCTGACCAGAAGCCACAAGCTTAAGCTTTGTTTTTGCAAGGCTTACATTTTTAAGTATATGGAAGTTTGAGGCCAAACAGTTGCAATACTTCTATTTCGTTCAAGCTTGATAAGACAGTTGTTCAATTTATTCACACCTGGCGCTTCTACCAGGGACCAGGGTCGGAGAACTGGGGTTTCCCCTGCCTACCCCACGGCTTCTGCCACGGCTCTGAGCTTCTGCTGCCCCATGGCGGATTTCTGCTGGGGTGCCCATTTTTCCAGGGCCCCCCCCAATTGGCCAGGGCCCCTGGATAAAGGCTCAATGGGTCCATTGAATAATCTGCCACAACCCACAGACTTATCTCCACCGCTAAGGTGATTAATGCCTGACACGACACGCAAGATCCATGGATTCTAGGCATGCCTAACACAACACGTGGTGTATCTCATCCAGTGCATCAAATGCCCCAACAACTATGTGGGTGAAACCAGACAATCACTTCATTCTTGAATGACCTCACACAAAAAAATGATAAAAGACAAAAACACCCTACCACCTCTGGGCAAACACTTTTCACAAAGTGATACTCCATATCTGACCTCTCAGTCCTCATCCTGAAGTTCATAACTCTGGTAAACAAATGAAAATCATGGTCTCAATAAACACTGGGTGTATGGATCATTAAAACATTTTGTAACCTACTAACCTTCTTTTTTTCTATGACTGCAGTGGTGTTAATTCATTTTAACCCACTTCATTTTAAGGAGTTTCTTGCAACATGTGCTAACCTCTCATGTTTAACAATCTGTCCCACCCTGTATTTAGCTGTGACACTCTGGTTACCTTTTCCAGACCTGAAGAAGAGCTTTGTGAAGATTGAAAACTTCTCTCTTCCACCAACAGAAGTTGGTCCTATAAAAGATATTACCTCACCCACCTTGTCTCTCTTATGTAGGAGAATGACTCCAATCATGGAGCAAATCAGGACTAAAAAAGACAACAAACCAATTACAGGGGCAAGTGTCTATGGAGCTTTTCAACACCAACAATAGGCATTCACATTCTTCATATGGAGAACAGGTAAGAGAGACAAGGCATCACAACCCAGCCAGAGACCAAGCAGCTAGAACTGAAAGGTAGTCAGTAGATGGATTGATGTAGTCTTAAACAGCCACTCAAGGCAGGAATACTTGTCCAATACTTCTGTAGCTTGGGTCCTACTCAGTCCTTGTAACTTCCTCAAATGAGGTGCTCTGGCAGCATAGGATTTGAAGAACAGGCATTTCCCTTTGTGCCTCTTCTTTTCAGGTTGAAAGACAACAGTATAAATTACTCTTTCACTTGGTGACAAAGAAATCCAGGGAGTATAGTGTGAATGCTCTGATGGAGACCCTGAATGCAAACTAGTGCTAGAATAAAAGTAGTAGGGACTAGTGACCGCATCAGTATCTAATTTTTATAAAGTGCTAAGGATATCTCTCTGTAAGGAGTGTGAGGATTTGGCCTTTAAAATCTCTCAAGAGTGAATATTTTTTCTGATGATAGAGGGTTAGAACTGTATTTTCTGAATATGACCCATTCTTGCTATCCTGGAAGGAAGGGGCTCTGAGAAGGATACTTGCCCCTTTTCCTAGAAAAAAGTTAGAACCCCTTTAAGGACATCAGAGGAAGAGGGAATAGTTGAAACTCCTGCCTTTGAAATATGCTTCTTTGCATGAGAAAAGTAATTTTCTACTTACCCTGTCTGGGGACACTGAAGGTAGAGATAGATTGGGAGATTTTTCTGTCAGGTGAGCCTCTGGGAGAGTGGAGAGTGGGCATAGCGGCTCCTCACGCTCTCTTGGTGAATCTCTGGTACAGCGCGGAACGGAGGCCGCATTCCACTTGGCAAAGCAAGAGTTTATAGGCTGGGAGCAAAAATGGCACAGTTCTTTCTTTATGGCTGACCGAAAAGCCACTTTACATACAGAACATCTGCAGGTCTTTGCTCTATGCAGCTTTGGCTGCTCTGCCATTTTGAGAGTGGCAGGAAGCTAACAGTTGAGAATACTCATTTTGTAGTCTCTGAGAACTGCTTCTCAGCCTGGCTAAGATTAAGTATTTGTTCTGAGATTGTCAGCTATCATGATGATGGGCATGGTATAAAAGCTTAAATAGAAAAGAGGAGAATATTTTCTCTTCAAGAACCACCTTAATAGCCAAGAGGTGGAGAGTGAGTGAGAGAGAGGCAGAACTAAAATTTAAGAGAAAGCAACAAGTCATTTCTAAAGTAAAAGAACCAGAACTACTGAGTTTCATGTTGTCAGAGGCAGAATTTCTGGGGGGAATCAGAATGGATGTTTTTTGCCACTGTCATTGGGCTCCCTGTCAAAGAGCTTCAGTTTCCCCCAGTCTCTGCAATAATGACGGCCATGCTGTGGAGATGGAATGAACTAGAAGTGCTTTTACATGTATAACAAGGGGAAAAGTACTGGAAAGAAAGTAGGCCTGTTAATAAAAAGCATTTAATTAATGAGGATTCAAAATTGGCTGGTACAAACCTCATTTTGTAAGCCTTTTAATCCACAGAACTAAAAGGATAGGGATATTCCGATTTAGGATTCAAAGATGGTGATTTTAAAGTGAAAACTCATTTCTCCTCTCTCTCCTCCCTTCTCACTCCCATGCTAGAAAAAACGCCTCCCCTTTCCTATTTGTCCTTCCTCTCTGAAATGACATAAGGATTTAGGAACTGCCATATGCGATTGGCTTAGTAGTGTATCTTGCCTTTAACAATGGCCAGTATTTAGGATATTTCAGAGGAAGGAGAATGGAAGCTCACAGTGCACAACTGCTATTGTAACAGCCCTTCCACTTTTCTTTGCTCACACAAGAACAGTCACATAATGGCAGGGAGATGGACTATATGACCTTTGCATCTCCCTCATCTGTGATTTTATATCAAAACCAGGTCTACACTGGGCAGATGGTAACCACAGAGTAGATCAATTTAAGCAGATTCACATTTCAGTTCTTGTTTCTTCTCTTTGGTATGTACTGTATATTTTACTAAACTAATATTGCCTATAAATATGCAGAAAACCTTTCCTTTTTCCCAATGTATTCATCATGTTGCCAGTTCAGAGGAATGCCTACCTACCAAAAGTAACAACAGTGGGTAGAGGCAGTAGAGGTAGGCAATTATCTGTCCTATCTGCAAACATCTGAACATTAACAAATGAGGAAGTGCCCAAATTTTCTCATACTGATTTCTCTCATCTCTTCTAAAATAAAATTTTCCTGCTGAATTAGAGACGAAGTTAAAGAAGCTTTATCATCATATGCATTAGAGTAAATGTGAATAGATCTCCCTAACAAACTGGGTACCTGTGAAGGTTCTGCAGGAATCGGGTAGATGGCACTGCATGGCCTCTCTCTTGGGGACAGGCAAGAATTTTCTCTGGAATGCTTATGTTTGTCAGATAACAAAGGAGAAGCTGGAATATAAAACCCCCCCCAAAAGATAACTTAATGCACTAAAATGCATTGAAATACTGATCACTTAAATTCTGTGGGCCAATTTCATAACACAGAGAGAGACATCCAATTGTTCCCCTCCCAACAATTCACTTTCCTCTGACAATAAACTGCATTCTGTGTCACACAGGCAATAATTTGAGAATCAGTGGGTTAGTGTATTGAGAGCCATTTTCTTAGTGGACAAGCACTAACCTCTGGCACTGGATGGAGCAGAGCTGGTCACATTAGGTGAAGCGGAATGAGTAGAACTCAAGCTTGAGGTAGATGGACTTGGCTGGAAGTAGATGAGACACTCTTATGATCACATCATACATACAAGTTTGTAAAATACAAATACACTTCATATCTATTACACAAACGTTTTGCCCAGAGCAGAGAGTTATAATTTGTTACATTAGTTTTCCAAGAGCTCTAAGCAGCAAACAGATGTAAATAATATGAATATAATTTATTACATTTTGAACTTGCCGCAGTGTTAATGACAATTAGACCGAAAGGTCTGATTAGAGAAAAGAAATGGATTTGTGTTAGATTGTGTAGCTTTAAATAACTTTTCTCACATGCATTTATATCTTCAAATTGGACTGTTATAGTTATGTAAATAATAATCATTCTCTATAACTAACGAACGCTGACAGCACATAGAATATGAAGGTCTGTTTATAAAAAAAGCTTTTAACACTCTTTCAATCACAATTCTAAATTAAATAGAAGATGATAGTGAGTAAATAAATCTAGTGCTTTCTTGTGAGAAAACTCACAATAAGATCATATTTAGCTTAGCTATGGCAATACTTTGTACCTGCATGTTGAAAACTTCGTCAGAGCTTTCTGATTGCCCAGTGATATTGCTGACTTCAGCAGAGGCTTGTGATGACAATGAGGAGGATGAATATCTGTTTACAGCTGGGTAACTTAATGGACTGTTACAGGAAAAAATAAAAAATTGATTTAGTCAATTCCTATTCCAAGTTTTCCAATTTATTAAACATCAATAGGGTACCAAGAGAAAATAAACACTCCCATCTCTTATCTCATCTACTCTAATTTGGGTTTATTTATTATACTGTGATTTTTATCTGCTATGGATGTCTGCAGATGCCTGTGGACTGATATATTAAGAAGCATATATATGATAAACTACACCACAGAGAAAAATTGTTCTAGTACATTGTATGAAAGTGCCAAAAACTAGAAATTCCTGGTAATTTAATCTTTCATTTACCTGCGTCTAGGAATTACCCTGGCACCATCTGGGCTCATAGAAGCAGGCGCTGAATTTCTACATACACGAGGGCTTCCATTAGGAAAGTGAACCGGACTAGCTTGCACACATGCAGAGAATTCCTAATTATTGGTTAAAAAAAGGTTAATTAGAATAGGAAAAGCACCATCAAGCATTTTGTGACATACCTTTTCAATTCACTATCTGTACCTTTTCATTTTGAATTAGGTGCATTAAATATTAATATCTAAGAAGCTAAAGTATTTTTTTCAGTGATATTAAACATTTTCCTTTGACAAAGTAAAATGATTATTTTTCTTTTAGTCACATGATAATTTTAAAAAGTGGAGAGAAGCTCCAGTGCTACAACAATGTAATGCAACCAAGCAACCAAAAGATGTCACTCTTTGTCACTTAGCAGAACTAACAACCATGTTCAAATGAAGCAGTCCTTGCGGCTAAGCTATTCCCATGGCCTGTCAGTACATCTGCTCACATACCTGTATTCCCAAACTTGACTTCATCACAAAGAACTGATCTACTAGCTTTTTGTGTAAAGGTCTCATATCCTGAGGCACAAACTTCTCATGTACAGCTAATCCGAATTCTAGAATCTGGGCCTTCACAAAAAAAGGGGAGAAAGACATTGCATTTCAGTTTAATTTTTGCTTTCCATCATTAACCTCCTTGTTACAATGCTATGAATCCACAGAAATACATATTTTAGAAGGACCTTGATATTAAACAAAGCCTAAGGCCAAAACCAGGCATCTAGTCAAAAACATTTACTTTTTTCCTCTTTGTGCTGCTTGATTTTCAGAAGAACTTAGCTGGCTTGATACCAGTGGCTTTGTTGAATGTGTAGAGAAAACCTGACTCGGTGTGAAATGTATGAATAAGCAGTTCTAAAAATATGAATGAAGACTTTCCCCAAACAATACTGGGAAGGAAATGTCACTGCATAGAAACGTGAGAGATGACAACTCTGGTAAGGAGCCAGCAGGTCTGGGCAGACAACAGGGATGTGTCCAAACACAGTTCTTGGAATGCACATCCTGCTATGACTACAGAACCCATGTTATTCCTCTACCAGGTATCTCCTGAGCAGTGATAATTAATGTGGTGGCTTTATATGAAGGACAAAAGTCCACCAGGCTTGAGAGTAATAGTACCAAAACATATCACTTATTATCTTGTTCAGCTTTACTTAGATGGATTTAAAACTTTGGCTTGGTTAAGTGATGAGCCAAATAAACTTTAATGTAAAATAGAATAGTTACATTATGCTGTAATATCTTTGAATGAGAGCATCCAGCAGACATTTTGGGCCAGCATCTCAGTGGGTGTAAATCAGCAGAGCTGCATTGACTTCACCATCACAGGTGAAAATAACCATTTTGTTTCAGTGCAGGTCAACATTAATTTCTGCTTCTGCTAGAGGTGTTGTGGTGCCTCATCGGAGTTTACCCTTGGATCCCTTGTGCCCCATTCTCTCGTAGGGGCCCTGCTCTCCAGCTGGACTCCATCTTACATGATGCATCATGGCTTTCCCTGCAACTGAGCCACTGCAGTGCATCATGGAAGTCTATGGGGTCAACATGTAGAAACAAAACATTTCATCTAGGTTTTTCCCAATGAAAATTTCAGCCAAAACTGATTTTTCCTGCAGAAAATTTCTATTTTGACAAAAAAAACCTTTTTTATTGGAAAATGTTTTGTTGGATGTTTTTGACCAGCTTAGCAAGTAGGTAAAGTTTATCCAGCTTATCACTTAACCAAGTGAATATTTAAAGTTCCTTTTCAAATTTTATTTTATTGGTGAAACAAAGGGGAAAATAAAATATCACAATAAAAAGTAGACATAGTCAATAATGTTATTTCCCAGCACCTCTCTTCCTTTCAATTCATCACAAACTATGCAGCTCATTTATCTTTATTTTCCATAAATAGTAACGTCTACATTAAGTAATTCAAACCACACAATAAAAACAAATATAACAGGAAAAAAGGAGAAAAACAGTTCAAAGATCAAATAGTGATCGTAAATTTTTATATAACGTGCATCCTCTCAATTCCTTAGTTGCAGTCTATTTTTATTTCCTAGTCAGGCAAGTATTTGTGGAATGGTTTTTAAAAATAATTAATTATTTAATTAACATAATACAACTTGTATTATTGCTACAATATACTTTTTAGTCATAGCAGTGTCAGTCCGTCGTAGTGGTAAAATATGTAACAACATGCAAATAAAACAAATACTTGCCATCATATGAAAGGAAGTTCTGCCTCTTACTGGTCCACTTATATTTTTTTGGACAGAGGAAAAGAGGATGAAGAGGATCAGAGAGATTAAGTTAACTACACTTTTAAACCTACTTATAGGGAGTTGCAGGCTATCTGAAAACTTATACAGAAAATATTGAGGGCCATTGAGCAGCTAAACACTGCAATTTCATATCTTATCTGGGAACATATCAATTTCAGCTAGAATACACAGCAGGCTCTCTGCTTTGTCTTTTCTACATTTTACCTGCTCAAGCATCAGCTCTCTCAAGCGTGTGATCTTCTCCCCATCCTCTGGGTGGTTCAATATATATTCCTTCACAAAGAATGCCTGAGCAGAACATAATCACAGCGCAAAGTCACAACAAATTTTGATGGATATGTTTACAACAGCTTTAAGGCACCAGGTTTTTCAAAACAAAACCCCAACTCTTCCCACAGCAGTACAGAATAATAAAATCACGTATCACAGTTATAGACCCATTTTCATATTTAAAGGTACTGCTGTTCTTTTTGAACAAACTGATATGCAACTTATACACAGAGATCACCTGCACAAATAAATGGCAGCCATTTCTTGTATAAAAAGCCTTTATCCGAGGTCCAATAAGTGAACCGCTTCCATTTGGCCATTTAGGTCGCTCTGGTGGAGGGCTTTCTGCTGTCCAACAGGGCCTGTTGAACACCGGCCGAGCGCTCCTGCTTCTCCGCATTTAACCATGCAGCAGCCAAGCTGTTAGGTGCAGAACCACCAGGTTCTGATGCAGAAGACTGCTGTGGTTTTGGGACAGCAGGTCTGGCCTGAGCAGCAGCTGTAACAGAGCAGCCACCGAGAGGTCCAGCACCATGCTGAACCAGTGCTGGCGCAGCCAAGCCGGCACTATGAGGATCACCTTCACCCTGTGCTGCTTCATCTTCATGAGGACCCTGTGAATTAACGGCACTGGGGGGAAGGCATACAACAGAGCCCCTGACCATGGGAGCAGAAAAGCGTCCGACAAGGAGCCTCTGTCGACCCCCCGAATTGAGCAGAAAACGTGTCATTTCCTGTTCTGCCTGGGTGTGAACAGGTCCACCTGGGAAGTCCCTCACCTCTGGTAGAAGATGCTGACCACTTCCAGATGGAGGGACCATTGGTGGCAAGATGACAAGGTCCTGCTGAGGCAATCTGCCAAAGCGTTCCTGGCCCCGATGGGCAGCTATGAGATGAATGTCATGTAGTACAGAAGTCCCAGAGCCTGAGGGCTTCTTGGCAAAGGGAAGACGATCTGGCTCCGTCTTGCTTGTTGATATAGAACATAAGCAGCTGTATTGTCTGTCAGGATCTGGACCACCCTGCTTTCTATGTGAGGTAGGAAAGCTTGGCAGACCAGGAGAACTGCTCTGAGCTCCCCGACGTTGATGTGGAGGAAGCGATCGTGACATGACCAATGGCCTTGCATGCTGAGATTGCCCAGGTGGACTCCCCACCCCAGGTCTGAGGCATTAGAGATGAGGGTCACCAATGGGGACGGAGCCACTAAGGGAACTCCCTCCAACACTAATGCAGGATTCTGCCACCAAGTGAGTGATGACAGTACAGGTCCGGGACCCTGACCACATGGTCCATTCTGTGTCTGTTGGGGACGTAGACCAACACCAGCCACGCCTGCAGGGATCTGAGGCAGAGCCATGCGTGCCGGACTATGTAAGTGGAGGCCGCCATTGTGGCCCAACAATCGCAGGCATGCGTGACTGGTGGTGAGATGATGGGCTTGCATCCACAAGATCAAGTCTGCCATGGCTTGGAACCGAGCCTCGGGGAGGAAGGCTCTGGTCTGAGTAGAGTTGAGGACCGCTTCAATGAACTCTATGCATTGCACTGGAATTAAGGTCAACTTTTTCTCATTTATTAACAGCCCCAGGTCACGACAGGTGGAGCAAACCGGATCAAGATGCCACCATATTTGATCCCGGGACCAGCCTTTTATCAGCCAGTTGTTGAGGTACAGGTAAATGTGAACACCCCAGCACCTCAGGTAAGCGGCCACTGGTGCTATGCACTTTGTGAATACCCTTGAGGCTGACGAGAGACTGAAGAGCAGCACTGTGAATTGGAAGTGGTGCTGGCCCAGCACAAAATGGAGGAAGTGCCTGTGCCCTGGGAAAATGGAAATATGGAAATCCTTCAGGTTGCGGGCACTGTACCAGTTATCCAGATCCAAGGAGGGGGTGATGGAGGGCAGGGAGACTATATGAAACTTCAACTTCTTGAGAGACTTGTTGAGGTGACATAGGATTAGGAAGTAGCGGGAGTAGAACCCTTTTCCTTTCATGTCCCGAAGGACTTCCTCTGCCGCCCCCAGCGCAGGAGGTTCTCGACCCGACCTCTTGAACGAGGAGTTGCTCGTGAGACGGGTCCCTGAAGAGGGATGGGGAAGAGGGGTGGGAGGGAGGGTCAGTCACGAACTGCAGGGTGTACCCTGAAGATATTACTTTGAGCACCTAACGGTCCAAGGTCAGCCATGACCAGGCCGACCGGAAGGGGCGCAGCGGTTGAGGAAAGAGTGGGAGGGCGTATCCTGGGAACTGACTGAGGAGCCATCCTCAAGCACACCCTCAAAATGACTGCTTCTGGCCTCCTTGGTTTCTGGAAGGGCCAGGCTGAGCAGACGAATGGGAAAACAACGTGTAACGCGGCTTAGACCCTAGCCTCTATCCTTTCTCCTGTAGGTGCCCAGCTGGGGAGTCCCGCAGGACCTAGACTGGGGAGGTGGAGGGCTGAACGGCTTCCTGGTCTGCTGAGGGTATGAAGGCCCAAGGAGCAGAGGGTGGCCCAGGAGTCTTTAAGGCCGTGAAGCCTTGTGTCCGTGAGCATGGAGAAGAGCCCTGCCCCCTCAAAGAGGAGTCCTGAATGGTGACCTGCATCTCCTGGAATAACCTGGAGGACTGCAGATGTGCCTCTTGGCCACCACCAAGGCGACCACCCTGGCCGGTGAGTCCGTAGCATCCCAGGCCATCTGGAGGGCCCCTCTAGCGGCTGCTGTGCCTTCTTCCACCAAAGCGGCAAACTCCTGGGCTCGGTCCTGTGGGAGGGCCTCCTTGAATTTGCTATTAAAATTGTACCTGCCTAACAGGGCCTGGTGGTTAGAAACCCAAAATTGCAGGCTTGCCGTCAAATAAACTTTTCTGCCAAACAAGTCTAGTCTCTTGGCATCTTTGTTTTTTGGCGTGCCACTGACTTGGCTCTGCCTGTCCCTTTCATTAACAGTGGACATGACCAGTGATGCCGCTGGAGGGTGCGTGCACAAATATTCAAACCCTTTTGCAGGGACGTAATACTTCTTTTCCACCTTCTTAGAAGTAGGCGGAATGGAAGAGGGTGTCTGCCACAGCGATTTGGCAAGCGTAAGGACCACTGCATGGACAGGCACCGGAGGAGGATATAACATTAAAGAGGTTGTTGGAGTCCTCCGCGAACTTACTTTTTAAGTTCAAATTGGCAGCCAGCATTTAAGGAGGGCCTGGAGCTCCTGGAAGTCGTCGAGGGGACTGCCTGTTTGGGAGGGACCTGCCACCACTTCATCTGGAGACGACGATGATTGTACTGCTGGGGGAGGGGCCGGTTCACCTTCCCTCTCTGGGGATGGCTCCTTGGGTGTTGAAGCCTGCTGCACTGTCCCTGCTTTGGAGTCAGTGTCGTGTTCTGACTCCGGTGCCAGAGGCAGCCAGGGAAGACTGGTGGGAATACGGGACCAGCATTATGGACACACACCATGGGTTCCAGCATGGCCATTGTGTGGGCTACTATCCCTGCTGCCATGCCGCAGCTGCAGATGCTGTACTGGTCTTGCGGGTCGGCAGAGAATCTCCACTCCTCGGCAAGCGGCTGAACTCCCAGTCTGACTCCGACCATTGCCCTTCCGGCGACCAAGGCGGAGATGTCGAGGCCTGAGTTGGCTGACTGACCTAGTTGGCGACCGGTGAGATGCGGGCAAGGATTGGTGCCTGCTTGACAAACAGTACCAAGGAGATTGAGACTGGTGTCATGATAGGGAGTGACTCCACCCCTGTGGGGACTGACATCTGGGAGACCGTGTAAGCGAGGGTGACCTGCGCCACAGCGATCTTTGGTGGGAAGCTTGCCAGTACCATGGGTATGGGGATCAGTGCCTCGACTCCAGCGTCCCATGCCTCGTAGGGAGAGAGTGGTGCCGGGGTCCTAGGCTGTGGAGATGGGGATTTATGCCTGAGGTCCAGAGAGGATGCTCCACTGCTGTATGTGGCAGGTCCATGACTGGCTTGCCCTTAAATTTTGGGATCTTAGCTGAGTCTGGCGCGGCAACAGCAGTATCAGACAGCCTGCTTGTTCTTTAGCCGCCAGGGCTGCTTTGGGCAACGAGTGCCCTAGGAGAAGCCGGGGAGTTGGAGGCAGATCACTGGCCAGGCTAGAGAGTCTGATCACAGCGGTATCCACAGTAAGCTCCGGGGTGGGCACCTGGCTTGACATAGGTCCTTTGCTCAAAGGCCCTTTCCCCTCTGGTGCTGGGGTGCTCTTCTTCTTTTGCTGCTTCTTAGGCACCAACGAGGGGGAACAGTGCTGAGCGGAGCCCACTGCTGGCGGTGCACTCTGTACCGATGCCAAGGTGCTCAGCGTGGGGTCCGAGCGGGAGGGCTCCAACACAGGAAGAAGTGCTGCCTCCATGAGGAAGGCCCTCAAGCGGATATCCTGCTCCTTTTGGATTCTAGGGTGAAAGTTTTTACAGATTCTTTACTTGTCCTTTCTCTGGGACTCCCCCAAGCACTTCAAACAGCTGTCATGGGTCACTAATAGGTATCGGCCTGTTGCATGACGAGCATGGTTTGAAGCTGGGGGAACAGGGCATGCCCTGCTCTGGGGCGAAGTCCCAGCTGGGACTCTAACTACCAAACTAACCTAACACTTAACTTAATGGCTAACTAAGTTCCTACAAATTATATACAAAGAAGATAGACAGTGGGCTGTAAAGAACCACTAACACATTTGCAATGCAAGACAAGGTGCTCCAACCAACCGTCATGGGTGGTAAGAAGGAATTGAGAGGCTGTAAGGCTGGTGGCACCTAATATACCAGCGCATGGGTGCGGCACTCAAGGGGGTGCCACAGACGACCCTACGGATATTGCTAAGGCAAAAATTTCCAACGACTGTGCACGTGGGTGTGCACACACCTAGAATGGAATCGACATGAGCAAGCACCCAAAGAAGGAGGAGTGTTAAGAAACAGCATGGACAATAGGAGATGGGTGCTTTTTGGCCCTGCGGAGGGAACTTAGATTGCAAGAAGGGGTTGACTGAAGAATCTGTTTTCTGGGTCCTGGCCTATCCTGGGGTGAGGGATGCTGCAATAGGGAGGATGATATCTGTTGAAGAGCCTGTATTCACAGTTCAGGTCTACCCTGAGCTTAGGCCTGAAGATCCAGGGCTGGAAAGGGGACAGACACATTGAGTATGTGGCCCTGTAGAGAAGGGAAGAGAAGAGAAAGTAAGGGAAAGCAATTATGGAGTGATGCCTTTGTGAAATGGAGGAAGAGGAGAAAAAATAATGAGATGATAAAATGAGATCTGTTTCACCTTGTATTTTAGCTGTGACACGGAGTACCTTCCCAGACCCAAAGAGAGCTCTCTGTAAGCTTGAATGCTTGTCTCTCTCACCAACAGAAGTTGGTCCAATAAAAGATATTACCTTGGTCACTTATTTCTTAGAAAAGAAAGAACAAGAGCAGTTTCATTTATTCATGGTCTTACATTTTCTTTCACCTCCCCCAGCTTTAAAAAAAAGTGTGTGAGGGGGAGAGCTGAAAAAGGGGTAGGGACCAACTATGTGTCACCCGGGATGGAGGGGAATATATGGGTTGATCATAGATCACAGGAACAGGGGAGGAATAGGCAGCAGGCTAAAACTTTTAGTTTAACAATTCATGATTTGTTTCTGCATTAGCAGTACATCCCAACAATGTGTCAGGTTCATTTTCCTTCATCTTACTTCAGTTGCTGCCTTCAAAAATCTGACATACTGAGTGAGCAGTAAATCTTTAAACTGCTTTTGACCTTTCGGTCAAGTGGGCAAAGTGGTATTCAGCTTCTTCTTTCACACGGCAAGAGAGGTGATTAGCAACATTCAACTATCCAAGTGCAGATTACTGAGTCAGTGAGTATCTTTGGAAGGGCTTAGTGTAAGTCTGAGATGCTGGCAGCAAATGATCAAGTGGGCACTAATTTACAGTGGGCCCATAGTTTGTGACTGGTGTTCAGTCACACTGTGTTATCTCTCAGCTTCCAGAGGTGTAAGAGATGACAGCATCTGAAATGAGATGTTTTGAAATGGCTAGGTGTGGACCATTGTTTCCAGGGTAGGTTGAAGCCTGTTATTCAACTTCTTCACCTTCTCATACTATGGTAGGGGGATTCCAACACACAGAGAAATATCTTATAAGACTTCTGGGGAAAATGTCAAGAACAAGCTAGTACTCGTAGTGTTCACATCCTTTCTTTTTTACTCAGAGCTGCAGCTTCAACATACCACAGAACTCTGCCCAGGGATAATATTCCAAAAATTTAAGGTAATCATGAAGGTGACCCAAGCGTGATGATGATCATGAACAATTCTTCAGCAAGAATATAGGTTAGAGGTGACAAACAAAATACTTTTCAATTGCACACACTGTTTCCTTCTAGACTTTCCCAGGAAGATCGGTTTCTTGAAAGACTTGGAGAAGATCTAGGAGAACAAGTTGTCACAGACACCCTTTCTTATTAAGGAATAAATGTAACAGTGTTATTGGCAGAACAACCTCATTAAGAAATAGAAAACTGTTCAAAACTGTCTCCTGACCTAAAAAGAAGCTGACACAATGTAGGAAAGAGTGATAAAACTAATTTTAAATAGAGTGGCTTAACCTTTCACAAGTAACCATCAAAAAAACAAAAAAACAAAAAACAAGTAACCATCAAAGAATGCAAGATAATTCTGGATCTACTTATCACTATGATAATTTTATAGTGCTACTTACACTCAAATGTAAATAATAAAATTAAAAAAAATCACACATTTAATATCACCTTTGATATTTATTTTAGTATAGGTGATTATGTATAATGCAGTTTCTATTAGTACTATTTGCATCCATTATATATAATACCATCTGTATGCTCTTATACAGAGCAAGAGTTAGACAGAAACAGCTTAAAATTAGTAAAACTATGCATGAAACAGATAATACGATAGATCCGTAAAATATATTTTATAAATAAACTGCTTACCTCTTGGTACCTAGCAACTCCACCATTAACTGCTGCATCTATGACCCCATTCAGACACATTGTGAGTGGGTTTATATTCTGCATCTGTCGGGTCTGACACTGACTAATCAGAGTTCTCAGCTGTTGGTTCTTATTTTCCAGCACTTCAATAGCATTCTCGAGGGGACTCATTTCCACCTGGGGGGGAAAAAAATCACCAAGAACATGCTTAATTCTCAAATATTTAACAGATAATTTATTAAAGGCTGTTTTTGCTGAATTCTAGACTCTAAACAAGGTTATTATGTATTACTAATTTCTCATATATTTGTAGATAATTCCTACATGCTTGGGTTGCCTTGTGAGATATGGGGTCAAAAACAGAATGACTTCAACCACACAAGCAAGGACCAAATTCCATCAGCAATTCATATTATTTGACTCTGCAAAGCTGGTGAACACTTACAAAATACTGAGCCCTTTAACTCCTGGTGAAATTAACAGGGCACTCATTATCAGGCCCGGAGTGATTTCTGTGCCTTACTGAAGGGTCAGAGGAGTTTCCCTAGCTGCTAATATATACTGCAAGAAGACAGGAAAGGCAGAAGAAATTTTATAATTCAGTAGCTAGAGTAGAGAATAGACTATTCTCTGGCCTCTATAGCTGTCATCATTTACCAAATGTTACCACCCAGTGGTATTTGAGACAACGCAAGTATGTGCTATGCTAAGCATAGAGGAAACTGTAGTATTTCAGCTATAATTGCTGGCAAAAACTGACTGTAATGGTGATAAAGGTACCTACGGGAGGGTCTCCTGCTGTTTTGAGGTGACATTTTTTATGCAAAATATTGGGCTGTGCTGTATTAATCTGGGAATTTGTGTGTGCTGGAGCAGCAGCCACAGTACCAATCGGCTAGCAGATTTTCTCTTGCTTTACACAGAATTGTGTCATTTGATTTGTACTAAATTGAGTAGCTGTTTTTCAGTTAGGACTATACCAGAAGGATGAGAGAAAGACTGACAAACAAAATAACAACATAAAAAAGAAAGGAAATAATTTGTACAGCAGTAACCCTGCGTTCAATGGGGACTAGTTTCCCATTAGTATTGGACTGTCTTCTTTGGCAAGAGGGAGAATATTTGCATGTGCCAACCTTCAGGGCCTGAAGCTTGCCAAGTTAGCTAGAGAACTTTAAACAAGAAGGATTATTTTTCAGAATATGTTTTGAATGTATTAGAGAAGTTTCCCTGAAATTTGACTATGAAGAAAAACAATAAATTACAAGCTGTTAGTAACGGGTTGCTACTTTAGACCTGGATCTTACAATGAGCTTCACATAGGCAGGTTTCTGCACCCATGCAGAGACCCAGTGACTTTAATAGAGCTCCATGCAGAGAGAGGGATCCACCCCCATGGCACTTTTAGCAGAATGGGAGCCCTGAGAAAGATTACCTTTCAAGTATACCAAGAGACATGTTAGGCCATAAATATTCTAAATAGTGAACACTGTCGTACCAGGTTCTAAGAAAATAACTTGCTGACATTCAGTGTCACCTCTGACTATATTTTTCTTGGTTTTTTTGTCTTGAATTGTTTGAATCAATCATAATGATGGTTCGTGGTTCCTACCAGTGCTATTCAGTTATTTATGGGAACTAGGTACCATAGAAGGATTTAAAAATCATTTTATTCAGCATAAAAAGCAGGCTGAGATGGATTCCTGCCACTAGCAACACTAGATATTACTAATAAATCTTTAAATCTGGTTTATTACATGCTGTACATATAAAGAAGTAACCTAGTTGCTAAGCCGGTATCCAAAATGAACTTGGAAGCAAGAGTCTATTAATAGATCTCTTCATACTCACTACTTCACGTTTTTCCACTTCGAACCAACGGGATATCCCAGGTAAACTCTGCACTAAGATCAATGTTGTTCTTTCCACCCATAGACTCTGCAAAATACAAAAGCAAATTATTTGGTGTGCTGTTCTTTTGGAGACACGTGATCTAGAATGCACATTGCTTTTGCCACCTTGCCCTATTTTCAGTGGTTTGTTTGATCTTTTCTTAACTGATGGATTTCTTCATTCTTGTGATATTGAATGGCAGTAATGTGGTAATAGCTAAATCTGCTCAAATGACCACCCAAAAGAATACAATATACAATTTTCTCTTTTACCGTCTAGAACTGACTATTAATTTCTGCTGATCTCATGAGTTGAGGATACTCTTTTTATCCTGGTCTCTGTTCTCTAAATGGACTACAGATGAAAGCTACTCACAACCTAATCTATTGGGAAAAAGGACAGTTTCTAGTTTTTGTATTCCTGAAATGAGGAATAAATGGGAAAAATACTTATGTTTAAAAAGAGTGACTGACTCTCCTTTATCAAGTCCTACAATATATCAAAGTGTATTGCATACATCACCCACAAACACATAATACTATTAAATGCCTTTTAGGGAAATATCTTAAAGTAATTTAAAAGCATTATTGTGACATAAAAGTCTGTTGAATTACAAGGTTCCACAGTATATAATATAATGCTTATATAAAATACATCAGAGTAGTACAATTAAAGAATCCTAAACTTTAATCAGAATATACAACTGATTCATTCAGCTCATTTTTATGGTGCTTTTTATTACCCTTATAGTTCTTACTCTAAGTTTACAGCAATACCAACATGTGATAATGCACTTTATCCATTTGAATAATTCCCTTATTGAAGCACAAGATATACAAATGTATTTCATATATACATTACTAAGAGATGAATATCTTTGACTAGGTACATATATATATATAACCAGGCAGGCATATGCTGAAAGAGTTTCTAAGTGTCTTGTGGGTCAGTGTGAAGGTTGGTACTGGAAAAGGCAAGAGTGAATTTTCCACACACCAATATTTTTGTTAATAGGATTAATAATAATTTATTTATTAGGGACTAATTTGTGGCTTGGACCTGGATTAAAAGATAGCATGTAGTTGTCATGTCACAAGCTCAGACCAGGAACCATATTGTAACTTAAAGAGTCACAATTTGGTTCCTGCTTCCCCCTTCTTCCGCAGGAGGAATCACCTATGCCCTATGCTTGGCACAGATTACTTTACTTCCCAGTCTGTGCCAGTTTAACTGTTTTAGCAAACAGTGTGGGTGCTGCTCTCCCCCTGCAAAGCTATATAGGTAGCTTATGCAGGTAGCGTGTGAAGGGAAGTAAGCAGGCTTCTTACGTGTTCTCACTCGCTTGTGCAGATATGTAGGGCAAGTGACAATCTTGCCTTATGTTTGTCTTCCTTATTTTAATTAAAATCTGAAGAGTATGGAAATGACACTTGATTTACCATTATTTGCAGGGTCCATTTAATTTACTCTTATCTAATTCATTCAGCACATAACTATAAATTATCTTATGAACAATGGTATACAGCACCAGTAGTACAGGAAACTATATGGTACTGTACCTTGAATTCATTCTCCTTGTCTTTGGTCCCTTTGTGGAATGGCCTGTCGTATCGGAATCTCCAGATGTGATTCACTTTATAAAAACTCTTGATGTTATCTGGGATGCCCTCTCTCTGCAGGACCTCCTGGCTTTCAGGAATTGGTGTCACTGCATAGATCTGCAGATCTACATGTAAAAAGTTAAGGGCCAAACTAACTTATCACCAGCAAAACAAGTAGACTGGTTCCTGAAGCGTGAAGAAATAAAAATTCTGAAAGTTCACATCCTTAAGCTTCCAGACCATTAACTTCTTTTAACAAGTCACAGTTACTTCTAAAATGCAGCTATCTAGTATATGGAAATTAAAATATTTAACTATGGATACTCCTTCAGATTTCACCCATAGCCTATGATACCATGCTCTGTAAATCAAGAACTAGTATTATTGCAACTTAAACTGACATACTAATGCTCAAAGTCTGACAGTTCTGCAAACTAATTTAAATGAAATCAAAATGTTTAACAAGTGATCTCCCATCAAGGATTTTTAAACAAACAAACAAAACCATGTAGAAACATGAAAGAATGACTGGAAATAATTTACCTGAAGAAATTATGAATAAAAAAAAGTGTTAGAAGTCAAATTCTTTCCTGATGTAATTCCAATTATTTCAGTGGAATTACATCACACGTGAATTTGGCTGTAACAATGTAATTTTTTTTTAAAAGTGTGCAAAAATTAACTGCAGAATATGATCTTGTGAAAGTTTGGATACACTGTGCTTCTGCCTGAAAGATGGTCTCATCGGGCTGATTGGCATGTTGCATAGCAATGGCATGTGGGAACTCATTCAACATTCGCTGTTGGAAAGCCTCCAGTCTCTCATAGTCATGTCCTCGGCAAACAAACTCCTTATTCTGTACAGAAGAAGCAGAGCTAGTTACATGAAAATAACTGAGTACCATTAAATAAATAAAGACACACACTTTTAAAAGGGGGCTTCTGGGGATGCTTATTGCATTATTTGAACAAAGAAAAAGGTAAGTAACAAAAGGCAAAAGCAGAAAACAAATATATAGAGGGAAAAAGTGATTTAGTCAAAAGGAAAGCAAATGTAATTGCACTATATAAAATACATTTTATTGCTTGATGCATTCTGGAAAATCTAATCATTACGTATTTCTGTAAGCCGTGATCTGAAAGGCAAACACTGTTTTTACTAGCTGAAAGTATGCACGGGTAATGTAAAGTAATGGATGGTGAAGGCAACAGGAGAGTCATACGTCCTTTGTGCAGTGTACTGAATTTTTTTGCTGGTTAGTCCTAAATCTTGCTTTATAGATATGTACCTTGGAGAAAGGGAAGGGATAAGAATCCTTCAGAATGCATCCCTATTGCCTCTCCCTCTAAAGACTGCACAGATCACCAGTCTGATATATTTGGCCTGCCCCGCCTTAGGGGGAAAGAGAGAATGAGGGTAGCTGAGCCAGTTCCAACTCTGAATCTTCCACATGGCTGCTCACTGTTCCCCTGCACCACCAGGTCAGGTTGGCTTTCTTAAACATTTGTGTGTGCAACATGAACCTCACATAAACCATTAGATGCCAGGAGCTGGAATTCCCAATGCAGCACTTATTGTTTACAATGGTTGAGCTGATACCCATAAGTGCTATGGAAATACTCTTCTTCATCAGCTTCCTATACCCCTGGGCATAGGACTTTAGACAAGGCCTCATCTTTGTATATTATAGGATTTTATCCAATTTATCAGGAATAAATATGCACATTCACCATTTCCCAAGCAATAATGTTAAATAAATTCACTTGTTTTATCTGTATTTTTGAAGTGGTTTTGTTTAGCAGTGTTTGGTAAAAATAATAATCATCTCTATAAAATCATGAGAACACAAACAGATACCATACGCATCTGAGAGCGCCAGCCTTTCTTGTGAATTGCTGTTGGTGAAATAAACTCTGATATTCTTTGAGTGCAAATACAAATAATAGCTGAGGATACTTACATTTGAAGAAGTGAAGCCCTTTCCACAGCAAACATATCTAAGGACTTCACCACAATAATTAACAAGCCACTTGCCTTAAAAAAATTGAGGCAGATATAAATAGTAAGTCCTGAAGCGTGCTTGCAAAGCCAACAGAGAGTAAAACTGTTCTCTGTACTTTAGCAGTGTCATTTGTAATTAACTCACAGGGAAAAGCATATTAAAAAAGGCAGAGACAAACGTATAGATCAGTAACAACTGAATATCTATCGTGCAGTGATTTTTTAAGTAAGATTTATTCTACCAATTGACAAATCTTGCCAATTTTCCAAATCTTAAATTCTTTATAACCTAAGATTTTAAAATAGATTTGTGAAGATGGCTTGAACCAAGTAGTAATAATATACCCACGAGATGTGTTTTGTGTCACCTCTTTTAAGGGGAAGGAGTTTCATACTATACCTACTAAAAGCAAGACTATGATTTTCCCTACCAGCCTGCACAGGCCAGTAAGTCCTCCCTTGCAGGCTACCAAGATCACTGCTCTGTTTGAGTGTGTGAGCGGGGGAGTACAGAGGAGCAGACTCCATGAGATTGATGCTGTGGAGAGTGGAAGGAGTCTTTGCTGTGTCTCAAAGGTGCCAGTCAGCACAACTGGATCAACCAAAGGGGAAAACTAGTCAAAGGCACCCAAGTTCCATTTTCAAGAGTGACTCAGGCACTTGGGAGCCTAAGTCTCATTAAAAGTCAAGAGGACAAGTGAGACATAGGTAGCTTTGAAAAAGTTATCCCTAGTCTGTACTTGGTAAAGGGGTGGTGTTGATTACTTTCCCTAATTGCCCCTTTGCTCAGTAGACCCTTGCCCCCACCCCCAAACACACACCAACAGGTTTCTGGGAAGTCACTAATAAAAGCAAAATGGGAGTAAGGTTCTTGCGGAAGCATTGCTCCCCTAGTAGCCCATAGCCGAGGTCTGATCTCCCATTTGTACACCGAGACTCACTTGGAGCTCAAGATATGTATGGTTTTGGAGGAGCTGTTGTCCATTCTGTGGGAACAAACATCTCACTCCCCTAAAAGAATATTAGGAGGCTACCCCATTTAGACAAAACACCTGGAGTTTTCCATCTCCTACAAAGGAAGAACTGGCATAAGACATAATCAAGTTCTCAAGTAGGGGAAGAAAAGATGAATGAAAGCATGACTGATAGAATTAGTGCATTAACTTGATTTTGAATTTACTCACTCTCAAGAAAAATGGAAACTTTTTCCCATAAAATCCAACTCTGAAAAACTCTGGCTCCAAACGTTGTTGATCCATGATTTTATCATACAAAGAGGCTTCCATCATCTGAATAAGATTGAGAAGAAGAAATATATGTTTTATACTTAAAGCTTTTACAGAGAAGAGGCTGCTCAGTGCCCCAAGGTATTAGAATTACATTGCAGTTCTAATCAGCAATAAGGAGAACTAGATGACTCTTTTACAGTGGATTGAAAGCTTCCAAGAATTTTTATGCAGTTATTTTCACTTAGGAAGAACAGATATTGCCTTTTGCTTTTGTTTGTTTGTTTGTTTTGGGGTGAGAAATCACAACACACAAATCTCTTAGAATAATAAAGATGTGCATGTTTTTCTTCTTTAATCTTCCTAATTTACCATCTCCATTCTTATTATATACACACACCCACACACAGACGCACACCACCACACCCATACACACCCAATTTGAAACATAATCCCAAGTATTCTGCTGATTACTCAAGTATCTAGCTATAACAAGGGCATTTTCATGAGCACAGGGCATTAAGGTTTGGGATTTTCAAAGAATCCTGCCCAAGGGAGTTAGGAGTCTAAATCTAATTTAATATCAATAGAAGCTGAATACCTAAACTTCCTTGGGCTCCTTTGAAAATTCCAGTCTAGAAAATGTATAAAAATCCTTTCTTTGACCAATATACACAGTTGTTGTTTCACTCAAAATATTGGCACAAAGTGACTTGGTTTCAAAGTTTCCTATTTGTCTTGATGTGACTCAAGAGACAGGTTCTCCGTCAATATTTTACAAATAGTGATAAAAAGAAAAGGATCAACATTAGGCAGTTATTGATATAATTTTGTTAATTTGCTAATATTGAAGACTTTGGAGAGAAATGTAATCAGAAGTAATATTAATTGCCACCCTACTTAAAGTACATGAAGAAACCTCATTTTTATACAAAGTCAGATTAACATCAACAGTGTATATGTACTGGATGACTATTTAGCATTTCAGTCTTTCAGATACTCACAACATAGATATGTCAAGAACCAATGAAATAGGCAAGACTAGGGATGTAGGTTTGTCATGATGGGAAAAAGTGTGGTAGATAGCATAATCTTCCCATTATTTGGGACTTTTCTTGTGTGCCTGTGACTCACCCCGCAGTGGTGGCTCCTGTCCCACAGGGCTGGACCTGGCAGCCCATTCTAGGTGTTTTGACATGGCGTGCGGGGTTGTAGCACTGGTCAGGTTTGGCCCAGCTGTCCCTCTGTCATGAATCGGGTAGGAGGAGGTGGAGGGGCCAAACTTCAGTGAGTGGCATTGGGACCTGGTGCATGGGGGTGCAGTGCTGTTCAGGTTTGGCTGCCCCTCCATTGTAATGTGGTGCTCCATCCCGGTGACCTCTCTATTCTTCCTCAGGCCCCAGCCTATCTTCCACATTGGGCCAGGATTAGGGTTGTGATGTCTGGACGGAGGGGCGCTGTTACAAACGGTCAGTGCCCAGCCCAACTGTCAAAGTGAGGAGGAGGAGGAGGAGATGTTTTATTGAAAATCATGGAGCAGTCACAGTAAATTTAGTGACCTGTGACTTTTACTAAATTTACTGTGTCTGCTCTATGATGTTTGATAAAAAATGCTGTGAAAAGGCATTACTAAGGGCAAAATTTTTATGGTAGTACTCAGTTTGCTGCTTCTTATGTGTTTGGCCCATCTGTCCAATAGAGCAAACTAAACATTAAATATGCTTTTGAGTTCCTAAAAAAACCTTTTAGTGGAACAGGAAGCTTCTAATAGGAGAGAGGACAAAACCCTCATTTAGGTTCTGAACTGTTAAATTGTCATTTTAAAAAAAATATCATGGTTCTCAGAAAAATATTTATACAGAACTAATGATCGATTGCTTGGCTTTTCAAGCAATTAGCATAATGAAGGTGGGCGGCTGCTCATAACAGAGCGATTGGGTATAGTGTTAGCTAGAAATATGAATACAACAAAAGTACAGCTTTGTACTCACTTGTGTGTTAAAAATGTTTTGGGTGGCTGCCCAAAATGGAAGCATTTAAAATCTATCCATTTACTTTTAATCTGAAAATATCCCAGAATACTTTATACATATATATCAGGTGTGTCCAACCAGTGGCTCTTTTAAGTTAAAATGTGGCTCGTGGAGCACCCTCATGTCCCCACCATTCTCCACCTACCAGACTGGGGGGAGAAGGGGCTCAAGGCTTCTGCCCTGAGGCAGGGTGGTAGGGCTAGGGGCTTCTGACAGGAAGAACTGGGGCCTGCTGAGCGTTGGGGAACCACAATTTAAAGGTTCAGGCCCTCCCAACAGCTTGAGTCAGGCCCCCTTCATACCCTCAGGAATCCTTAGAACTCCCAGGTGTTAGCTCCACGGGGAGAGGCAGCAGCAAAAGCAGCAGCTCTCCTTGCAGCTCCCAGCTGTTTACCGCTGCCATTCCCCATTACCTCAGCTCCCAGCTTGCCGGCTCCAGCAGCTGTCGCACAGGGAGAGGGAGGCACCATGTGACTGAGCAGAGCCAGCAAACCCCGGAAAAAAATGGGGGGGGGTGAACCCATGTGCCCCCCCCCCCATACATCGCCTCTGGCTTCTGCTTAGCTGGAAAGGGGGTCTAGGGGCTTCAGCTCTATGGGAAGCACCTGCCAGGGCTCAGGGCTTTAGCTCCACTTCTGCTGAAGCCCCAAGCCCCGGCAGGTACGCCCCAGCTCTCGAACTTCTGGAGATTGTCCAGAAGTCAGTCAGAGGGTCGGTAAGTTTGGCCACCGGTGATATATACATTATAGCGAACAAATAAGAATCAAAGGTAAGGATTGCATACTAGTCGTATTAGGCTTACAAGGCCAAACTTAATAGGCTAAGAATCATTTTGTTTAACTCTAATCAAAAGGGAGTTCCTTATTCTGAATGACCAAAATGCACCCCGGTACATTACCCTCATCTTGCTGAGATTTCTGTAGTCATAATAGCTCTCGTACTGCTCTGCAATCTTCCTGCATAAGATGATGCCATTCTCCCAACACTGTAGACAAACAGGTTACAGAAATATAGAGAGGAATCATGCTTTGTGGCAATTTCAAATAGCTTTCCAAGTATCTTCTATTATTGATACAATTTCCCAGTAGCCAACAAATATAAGGCAGACAACACCTGTTGTGTGACAATTCACAATATGTTATTAAAGCGCCTTCTTTGTAGGTGACTGAACTGCACTCCCAGTTACTGAACATACTTGAACATAATACCCACTGTCTGCAGTATCTTGATAAGGGCAAAACTCCTTAACTAAACTTCTGGACTCTTTGAGGCATCAAACCGTATATTTCCAGAGTTAGCAGATAAAAGGAGTCATTTGAGATAAGACACACCGTGCACTGCAGAAGGTGGAGATCACTAATGAAGTGATACCCATCTCCTCCAGCACGGCACATGGGATTTATTCGACTGGTTATATGTTCCTATATAAAATGTATTTTACTTATAGAAGAGTAGAAAAATTAGGAAAAATATTCCTTCCTTGATTTTTTTTGGGGTAGGGGGAGGAACAATCTGGTTGAAAACAAGTTTTCAATTTCACAAGCTCAGAGTATCCTTAACTTGTTTGACTCATTGCTGACCAGCATTCAACATTAGTTTTAATGCTACTACTTACAAAAATTTACACGGATATTACACCAGTTACAAAAAATTATAGTGTACCTGTGTATCAATGATTGAGGAGAGAGATTTAAGTAAAAAATTAAGCAGAGAGTATAATTTTAAACCAGATAATATTGGCGGCCAATATTTGTGCCAGTCTTCACACCAATAAGCAATGGTTTCTGTCTAATTTGGGATAAGATTTCTGAATATTGGCACTATGCTATGGTCACCATTAAAACTTACCAACAGCAGCCTCTGAATATTATCATTAGTATTACTGCTGCTGCAGTTGCTATTCAAGGGAGCCAGCACGGTTCTGTAGATAGAGGACAGGCCTAAGAGTCAGGAGACCTAGGTTTTATTCCCAACTCAGTCACTGACTTGTGTGAATTCAGCATGCTTCTGTCCTTATGTGGCTCAGTTTCCCCATCTGTAAAATGGGGAAAACACCATCTTTTGTAAAGTTCTCTGAGGCTTCCAGTTGAACAGCGCTATGCAAGTCCTAATCAACAGTATTTCAGACACCACGTGTGGTAATTTATGGCAAATGCTAACTTTTAAATGGCAGTCACGTACATGGCAGTCACTGGATATAAGAAATAAACACTGGAAAACTGGAGGTGATTTTACAATCCTACTACCCACTCATGATAAAAATCGATAATTAAACCCACTTACCTTTCCCCGGTCAAAGTTCTGGATGATTGTAAGGTGAAGATACTCTTTGCGCTGCCACTCTGTTTGCATGGGATAGTTTAGAAATTCTCTCAATGGCCGGTCAGACCATTCTAATAGCTCATCGTACAGCAATAGTGTGTAGCCAGCCTCTGTCAGACAAGTTACAAAGTGTTATATGTAAACATGAAAAATATAAAATACCTCAAAAGCCATGTTATTTAAACCACTATCTACCATAATATTCTCAAAAAGTTATACCTCTGCATAGAACAACTACTTTACCTAAATCATCATAGGGGGCGCTAGTAGCACAAGGTTGCTCTACACTTCCCACGATAATATGCTGTTTTCAGTTGCTAATAACTTTGCCATACTTTAATTGCTCAGGATGAAATTTCCTGTGCTGGGTGTCTACCTCAGGCTGAATATTTTTGCAAGTTTTAGCAAAAATGGCCCAGCCATTACTGAGAATGAGATTAGGGGAAAATATGATGTTTTGCCCATGTTAAAAAAGTTCTTACAACTGTTTTGCTGAGAAGCTCTAGGTCTGCTATGCTTTGGAGTATGAACTTGAAATTTGGCAGAGGGATGGGCCTTTGTGTCAGATATGTGCCTTTTGCCATCCCCATAAAAAATGACCAAATTATAAGACACTGAAAACTCTCAGATGCTCAGTAGAGACATGTTAGAGTGTAGCACCTAATTTCTCCAAAGATGCTATCTACACTGGGCATGTTCGCTGCAAAGGCTGAGCAGGACTATCCTTGCAATTGCTAATCCTGGCTGCTTCCAGGCACCTGGACGGAGAGCAGGGAGACTGCCTCTCCTGTTCTCTCAGTGTTCCCTCAGCAGCATGGAGAAGGAGGAGGAACAAACTGATTAGAATGCAGAGGGGTGAGGAGCTGAGCCTGGGGGCAGAAAGAGTAGAGGGAAAAGACTGGGTCAAGGAGACGGGGAAGAAAAGGGGAAGACTAGGAGCCAGGAAAGGGGGGGAGAAAGGATAGTGGCTGTACAAGACGACAGACTGGGAGCTGGGCGAGGGGGAGAAACAGCAGAGGAACTGGGACTGGGAGCCAGTGTGGGGGAAGGGGTATGTAAAAGATTAGAACACGAGAGGAGGGGCAGAAACTGGCAATGTCTAGACAAGGAAACTAGGACTGGAAGGTGGTGGTGAGGTCACTGGCATGAAGAGCTGGGGTAAAAAACCAGAACTTGTAGAGGGGCAGGCTGAAGGGTACAAGACAGAAGGGATCAGGGCTGGGAGGAATGAGGGCAGAAGGATCTATGCCCACTAGAGCACACTCCCCTACAGCCTGCAATGAAACCCAAGATTCAACATTCCTCTGGTGTCAAAAATATCATTGAAACCCTCTGGCACAATGTCTCATTCCCCTCTACTGCTGGTCCACATAGCAGTAATAAGTTGTCATCCTCTATCAGCAAAAAGAACAAGAAGTACTTGTGGCATCTTCGAGAGTAACAAATTTATTTGAGCATAAGCCTTCGTGGGCTAAAACCCACCTTGTTTTAGTTAGTCTCTAAGGTGCCACAAGTACACCTTGTCCTTTTTGCTGATACAGACTAACACGGCTACCACTCTGAAACCTGTCATCCTCTATCAGTTACTCTGTTAGCTTCAGTTGCAAGAACTGAGATGTAGATCTAAAGGTTCTAACCCAGCAGATGATCCTCATAGTGGAATCTGTTTTTTTGGTTTGCTTTTTTAAAAACCTAGGAAATTACACACACACACACACACACAAAATTGTGTTAAAAGAACATTATTAAGGTTGCAAAGTCAAAGCTCAAAAGTTAGGATATGCTAGAATTAAGGTTGCCTGTGCAATTTTCATTTGGCCCTCCTGTATGTATGCATTAGGATACAGTCTTTAATTACATGATCACATACTATTTTTTTCCTCTGCCTAGTTCAGTGCACATGATGGGCCATGTTATGGGAATGCATAAGGGTTGTGAAGTGTAGGAAACTGTTGTCTGTGGGACCCCAGACGTTTCATTTGTTGTGGATTTGGAAGGTGTGTAGTGACTGAAGCACAGGCAACTTTAGTTCTGGCATTTCTTAACTTCTGAGTGCTTGTCTATGCAACTTAAAAATGTTATTTTAATATAATTTTTGCATGTAATTTTATATTTAAGATGTCCAATATACTTATTTATAATTGTATTTAACACTAATTGCTATAAGATTGATACAGCTTGACTTCTTTATTGCTAATGAACTACTCAATCTATATATGCACTACAAAGAAAACTTCTTAGTGTTCCTTTCCTTTTCAATTTCCATCATGGAATGACTTAGCTTTGGAAGATTTCTGTAGTACAAATCTGCATTAGTGAGTTCTTGGACAAATTGCATTATATGTAAGTAACTTATTAACACCACTGGCAGACGTGTGTATAAATTCCCCATGCCCCAAAAGAAAGCAAACGAGAGGGGCTGATTTATTATATGGAAAAATCTATCTGAAGAGGTTCAAAGGGTTAAACACTTCCACGAGTAATGGAAACTGAAAGGTTATCTCATTCCAGTTTTGAGGTCTCTGAAGGGGACACACAAGGAACTAGAACATTACATGTTCTACCCACAAGGGGATTAAACGCATAGCCATGACTGGAAACTGTGGAAGGAAAGATTTATGCTAGATATTAGATTTTAAAAGGCCTTTTCTCACAAAGAATTATTAGAATGTGAACCAGTCTTGTAAATCATATTGTGAAGACAGATAAAATAAATGAAAATAAGAGAAAGCTGCCTTCATCCCTGGAACAAAACTATACAACTAGATGAAATAAAAGTGTAACACACTGGAGTGCTGGTAAGAGAGTGAACTTTACTTCCTGTCCCCAGGCAACTGACAAGGGTCAAGGTTAAACTAACCTTTTGATGTGTGTTCTTTTCACCGAACATCAATATGTAAACCAAGGGGATGGACCAAATGAATCTTTGCTTTTCAATGTAAGGACTGTGTCTATTCTTTGTCACGGACTGAGGCCAGTCGTTCCTTAATCACGTAGTACTAAATAAGACTGACTGAGTGTCATGGCAAAGAAAGAAAGATCTATAGAAAAATGAAAAACTGCCATGGAGGCATTATTTTGAGCAAAATATTGCTTAAAAGAAGAAATGAATAGTTTAAAAACATGAAAAAAATCAGCACAATCAGTGCTTAGACTATATTGGACATACGTATAGAAACTAGTGTGTTAAGGATCCATTGACATGCCTTGCTCAGTGGGTTATTAAAACCTGTTATGTAAAAACCTAAAAGCCACAGTTGTGTCACAAAAATCATGTCTGTGGCAACCATATATCTCTAGTTGGTAATTATGCCCAAATTATACGAGAAGGTCCCTGAAGTTATACAGCAAGGTCACCAAAAACTCTCCTCAATACAACCTCTCAGTCCTCTGACACATTAAATATATACAAAAAGAAAAGGAGTACTTGTGGCACCTTAGAGACTAACCAATTTATTTGAGCATGAGCTTTCGTGAGCTACAGCTCACTTCATCAGATGTATACCGTGGAAACTGCAGCAGACTTTATATACACACAGAGAATATGAAACAATACTGTATTGTTTCATATTCTCTGTGTGTATATAAAGTCTGCTGCAGTTTCCACGGTATACATCTGATGAAGTGAGCTGTAGCTCACGAAAGCTCATGCTCAAATAAATTGGTTAGTCTCTAAGGTGCCACAAGTACTCCTTTTCTTTTTGCAAATACAGACTAACACGGCTGTTCCTCTGAAACCTGTCATTAAATATATAGAGGCCAGACAGGTATGGTGGAATTAAAGAAATCCTCTCTCCTTTGTACCTTTGGAAATCCATGCTTCATGTACCCTATTCACAACTCCACCTTGCCCAACCGGTCTCCTAATGACTTTTTAATGTACTACAGGTTTTGGTATTGAACACTCATAATTACAATGTGCAAGTTACTGAAGAAAAGCTGGAGTTTTTTTGGTTGAGTGGATGCCAGCTGGATTGAGGCCTCTAGTACACAAGGTGATCAGTTTGGGATTTTGCAAACCCAAAGTATTTTAATACAGGGGAGGTGATTGATCTCCTATTTCCTTCTTCATTTTCGACAGAGGCTAATGTGACATTAAATTCGGAGTGAGGCAACTGAAAAAACAGATACCTACCTGTAACTGTTCTTCGTGGTGTGATGTAGATGTGTATTCTACTTAGGTGTGTGCATGCCCAGCATATTGGAGCTGGAGACCTTTGCCTAACAGTACCAGTAGGGGCAGTGCTCACGCCTTGTGGCCATAGCCCAGCCCCTAGCATTATAAGGGGGCACCACACCAATGCCCTCCGTTTCTTCACATCCAACTTCAGATGTATAGACTCAGATGCAGAGGGGACCAAGGGTCAGTCGTGGAATACACATCGGCATCACAGAATAACAGTTACAGATAGGTAACTTTTTTTTTTAATAGATGCAGCAATGTACTCTACTAAGGTGACTCGCAAGCAAGACTAAGAGGAGGTGGGACTCAGTCTGCAGGACTGCCTTCCCAAATGTGCCATTTGATCTGGATGCAGCAATGATGGCATAGTAGTTTGTAGAAGCATGCACAGAAGACCAAGTTGCAGCCCTGCAAATGTCCAACATAGGAATGTCACTTAGAAATGCCATGGACGTCGCCTGGGCTCTTGTGGAATGGGCTCACACCTCTTGAGGCAGCATAGCTCAAGCTACTTTGCATGTTGTCATGACACAGGAAGTTATCCACCTGAAGACTGTCTGTGAAGAGACCACTTGACCCTCCATTTGGTCTGCACAGGAAACAAACAAACGAGATGAGGAGTGGAAAGATTTGGTCCTCTCCAGATGAAAAGCTAATTACCACCTGACATCCAGTATGTGAAGACATTTTTCCTCTGGGGTTGAATGCAGCTTGGGAAAGAACACTGGTGAATATATAGGTCTGGTTCAAGTAAAACTGAGAAACTGCTTTGGATAAAAACTTAGGGTGCAGCTGCAGGGTTACTTTGATTTTAGAAGAGCCTGAACGGAGACCCCTTCGAGAGCAAAACAGATGGCATTTCTTATTTCTCTCATGGCAAACTGGCTGATCATCGAAATACTCCAAACTGCAAAGGTGGACTGCAGGACACTGGCTTCAGGAACCATTCATGATTCTGGGAGAAATTTTGTCTGAGGTGATCCGCCAGGTGATTCTGTATCCCAGGGAAGTGATTGGCTGTGGAGGTAACATCTTCCCCAATGCAAAACTGCCATAGCCTAATTGCCTCCTGATACAGCATGTTGGAGTGTTCTCCCCCCTCAGCTGTTCACATAATTCATTGCACTGGTATTGTTGGTGAGGATGAGTGCCACTGAGCCCCTGATGTGATCCTGAAAGGTCTGGCAGGGATTGTAGATGGCTTGAAGCTCCAGGACATTGATATGCAGAGAAGCTTCTCGTTCCGACCACAGACCTTGAACTTTCAGCAATCCCAGATGTGCTCCCCAACCTATTAAGGGGGCATTGGTGACTACAGTCTTGGTCAGTGGGAACTGAGCAAAAGGAATGCCCTGGGACACATTATCTTGAATCATTTACCACCATAAGGAGTCCAGGATTGGTGGACAAGCCTGTCCAAGGGATGATGAATCGGATGATAGACCAACTTCAGTCACTTCTGAAGAGGATGAAGGTGTAGTCTGGCATATTGGACTAGCTGTGGATCTGCAACCATATGGCCTAGGCTGTGATTAAGGTTTGAGACTGGAGCTCCAGACATAGGTGGGGAATTGCCTGGAATTGGTCAGTTGGCAGAAATGCTCTTGAGTCATAGAGTCTAGCAGGGCCCCAATGAACTCAATTCTTCAAGTTGGAACCAACCTTAATTTCCCACTTTTTAGGATGAGACCTAGATGATCAACTAAAGGTAGTGTGAAATGAACATGAAAGAGGACTTCCTCTTTGGACCTGCCCTCAATAACCAGTGGTTGAGGTACAGGAAGATATGAATTCCCCTCTTCCTGAGGTATGCTGTTACAATCATACACTTGGTAAAAATGCAGGGAGTGCAAGACAGGCCGAAAGGCAGCATGATGTATTGGTTGAGGAACCTCCTGAAGCTTGGCAGGATTGCTATGTATGTGTCCTGAAGGTCCGGGGCAGAAAACTAGTTGTTGTGATTTAAGACGGGGAGGATAGCTAATAGGATTACCCTACAGAATCTCATGTATCTGATGTATTTATTGAGATTGCAAAGGTTGAAGACATGTCTCATCCCTTCCTTGGGCTTGGGGATCATGAAATATTGGGAGTCTCTTGCCACTTGAGTCCTTTTTATGAACTATTTACCAGTGATTCATCTGCCTTTAATGTGTCCTTCACTGAGACCCAACAAGCCCCTCATGTGAGGATCGCTGTTGGGGAATGGCCCCCGACAATGGGCAATGCTTGAACCCCAGTGAGGTCACTGCACAGGGCAGCTAATGCCCGTACTATACTAACACTAAACTTAACCTAAGATACTCCTAACTACTATACACAAAAAAAAAAATTAATCAGAAAACAGACTGAAAGCATGAGGTAAAAACACCACACAGAACTTCAGCTCTAGTCAAGGATGGTGAGATGGAACTGAGGAGATCATGGGGAGGGGTTTGAGCTGCAGAGTATGAGCACTGTCCCTACAGGTACTGCTAGGCAAATTTCTTTGGCTCTGGAGTGCTGGGTGTGCCCACATTTTGTACACAGCTGCATCTACTTGAAAGAAGAATATTTTGTTACCCACTCCAGTAACTTTACAGAATCTACTTGTCCAACAATGATAAATACTACTGTTGTGCATCCAATGTCGTATGTACAACAATGGATAAATACATTATCTTTTGTGTCTTCTGAAACCAACAGCAACATAGTTAACAACACTGACATTTAAATGACAATATCAGACTTCAGAGTTAATTCCCCATTCAGATGAATTGAAGCAGTTCAGACTGCTTGAAACAATGGCTCTATGAGATGCATGAATACTCTAACAGACATAACGGCACTGGTTACATTCCTTCACATTTTTAAGGGTATTGTTGAAACCATAAGGGTGAAAAGATTTTTTTTTTTTAAACAGAAGTTTAGATTTTGGAATGCAATTATGTAGTGGCTTTAAGAAAATAACAGGTCACTGAAGTGACCACATAACTACACTATGAACCAGCACCTAATATCTATTTCCTGGGTACAATTCTATGGCCTGTGATGTATGAACTGGAGGTCAGACTAGATCTAATGGTCCCTTCTGGCCTTAAAATCTATAAATGAATGAATGGTGCCAAACAGTGGGAAATACACCACTTGGAGAAAATCCAAACTCTCTCTCTCTGTTTTACAATCAGTTTAAATGTGTTAAGAATACAAAATGTCCCCATTTTTTCTTATCTGCATGGAATCACAGCAGTGCATGGAATACAGCTGGAAATACATGTCCTAGTTGTATTGGCTCAAAGAACTTCATCTGAACAGGAAAGAAAATTTTGGTATTTCCACTCTTCATTCATGACAGAAACATGTGAAGGCTCAGAGCACAAACACGTGCGATTTGACCAGCTCAACCCTTCACACTCTTTTTGAACGATTAAACAGAAAGAATGAAAAATCAGGAGTTGCCTCATTTAACTCCAAGCCAGTTTTGTGAATCAATATGGGCTAAACTGTGACTAAAGACACAATCTGGTGTGGGTTGTAAGCCACATCAACCCAGGAGTAATGCCAAGAGGCACTGTGACTCAGAGAGAGACAGGTTAACCACAATTCTGTCTTTCAATCCTATTGTTCCTGGATGGGAAAGAGTAATAAATTCATTGTTGTCTTATACCAGCAGTAAATTACTGTCCACCCCACGTAGCACAGCTACTCTGGGCAGCAAGTAGGGGAAGTGGATGAAATAGAGCCAAGGCTCTGCATATTCGCTGCCCACCTGCTGTGGGGACAGTAAGCTGGCGAGTAGCCCCTCCTGTTTTACTTGCCTGAATCTGAGATCCGGGTGACCCGCAAAGGGGTTAAAGGAGGTGTTTTATTGCCTATGACCTCACTATGACCGTGAAAGGGCATAAGTCACAATGTAACTCTAAATATTTTTTTTCCTAGGTTGCATGTACCAACAATTACCTGTGAAGTTTTGTGCTTTCAGATGCAGGTCATATAGCTTATGGATGTAGCGAATATACATCTCCTCCTTATTCAGTTCAGTCTTATAAAAATTCTGCAATAAAAAATGATATAGGTGGTTAAACAAAATGTTTCTGAGAATGTAAAATGGTAGAATAAATAGCTAAAATCGGTATTGGAAGTAATTGTTAAGTGTACAGAACATACACATCAAACCTAATGTTGCAGAAACGCATGCAAATTTCAAGAAGTTGCGTGTTTACAAGGGCAAACTATAAAGGTCAGTACATGTAGTCCCTTATAAATAGGCCTCTTACATTTTGTTGAGAACAATCATAATATCCAGAATATTTTTAAAATTATTCTCCTGCACAAGAGTCAGAATCCGCTAGAACTAAAATCCCATAATGTTTTATCTATTTGACATATTTTACTCAAAAATACCGATTCAGCTATCTAAAAAATACATCTGTACTTCTATCACGCCCCACTGAAGCCATTTAACGTCTCATTGAAAGCTCTACATTGATTTAAAAAATTGAAAGCCCTCTGGCTTTTGTATTCATATTTTAACAAAACATCTACGCTACTGTATGTCTACCCTTCACTGTGTGATAGCACAATGCCAGGATGACTTTGGCAGGATTGCAAAGAACTATTCAAGTGTAAAAACCAAAATAACCCTGAAAGAAAATGTGATTTCTTCAGCTCTGGCTTATGCTCACGAAACTGGTAACTGATGCATGACTATTGCATACCACGTCTTAAATATAAAAAAAAGTTCTATTTTGAACCTATGTCGAAGGATGTGGAATCAGGTTTTCAGAGTTACTGGGGATTTTTAGATGTGTCACTGTTAGTGATTGACGTGGGTGTCACGTAAATAAAGTCCTGCATGCAGTTTTGAAACTTTAGTCCATGATGTTCAATATTTAATTCTGTTCATCGGAGTAGTACAGGCCCTAAATCAGGTATTCCAAGGCCAGCAATAGGAGAATGGTGTCTTACGCCATACACCGTAAATGCTGTCATCTTGAAGATAGAATTGCAGAGCATGCACATACAGGTCCCAGCATGCAACGCTTAATTTTGTAACTGGTCTGCTCAGATCAAGATATCACTACAGGCTACAACCTTGATGCTGCAGGATGCCCCTGCACATTCAAGATTGTGATTGGTTCCACGTTATCGTGCATCTCTTCTGGGCTCTCGGCAAGTTGCCAATGAGCCCCTCTGTTGGAATAAACTGCGAATGTTCTTGTTCTAGACCACAGAGTCCCAAACTGTGGGTTACAATCACTAAAGTGAGGAAGGTAGGAAGGAGCACTGTGAACGAATCTCAGAGAAAGTTGTTGTAGGAAGTCAGAGAAAAAATGTAAAATGTTACAAAAATAAGTGTATATTTTTTAACTGATAAAAATGGAGACACAACACGAGCTCTGCAATTGCGTGTCCCTTCAAGGCCACCATATTACTATAATCTGAGAAGCACAGCTAGCAGGGCAGCAGCTGCTGGAGCATCTGCTAAAATACAAAAAAGGCAAAGTATTAAAGCTGTACTCGTATGTGTGCCTAGAATGTAAAACAGCACCAGGCCCATTAAAAAATGTTATTAGGACACCAATGAAGTGCAAGTATCCATGCACACGGATCACGACAAGACGTGGCACTGAACTGTAATACCAGACTGGCTCTACTTGTTAAGGACTAAGAGCTCTGTTGCTCCTCACGCACCTGTATTGCATAAGTTACTCAGGTCTTTGTTGAAGCTCATTTCTGACTGGAGATAGAACATTCTGTGGAATGGACAGTGGCAAGTCGCTCCATTAACAGCTCAGAAAATAAAAAGAATGTGTGCAAATACAATGAGAAATATGCGACATGTTTTTTCATCAAATCATTCTAAGCCATAATGTGCAGTCTAAGAAGAGTCTAACACCTTCAAAGAAGGTAATATTTAGCAATTAGACAGCCATTAATAGGGACTTTTTTCCAGAGAAAACTAGGCAGCTTGAAAAATTCAACACCACTTTTTCAAAGCAGCAATGTCAACAAAAATGTCCTTTTTCAGGTAGTATCTCTATGAATCACATGATGAGTAAAGCACAGACCCTTGCAAAAAATCTTATAATTCCCTGCACAGTAGATATGGTTTCAAAATTCATAGGGCCTGTATCACCTACCAAACTGAAAACAGTACTTTTGTCAAATAAAACTGGTTTTTGTCCCATATTAGTGACGTGGTTCAGGATGTCTGAGAACAAGTCCTTTAAAAAAATCAGCACTTAGCGATTCAACTTGATGAGTCAAACAGCGTGTCTGGTGTGACATAGCTCTTAGGGTTCATCAGACATGACCGATAATTCTGCTGAAGACAACTTGCTGTGCTGTAAAGCTGTGACAGTGTGCACTACAGGAGAATGTTAATTTGAGACACTTTAGGAAACAGTCCAAAATTGCCACATTCAGTGGGAATGGTGTATTACAATCTACATGGATAATATCAAGTCAGTGAGCTTTAAGAATAGTAAGTAGTCTGGTCCCATAAAACGAAAACACTGCACTTAATGATGCATAGCTTTACAATTTTGTATATCAGTCACATTCTTTCTGCTAAGAAAATGTTTGAAAAAAATACCTAATCCTTCATGAAGCTGAAGGAGGAGCAAGCTTCACTGAAGGCCATACAGTAAATTCTTGACTTTTTGTATTGCTCTGTGGTGGACATGAATTTATTTCACCAGCAACTCCTCTTACAAGCTGAAGTGGGATGGCTCTCATGCAGCTGAGTGACAATTTGACTTTTCAGATTAAGAGCAGAAGCTCAGGCTTCCCTCAGCAATCTTCAGACATTCATCTTGTGTAGCATGTTAGCCTATTGTGCTGACATCTCAGGGCACTTAAGCAAGCTGAAACCTTCTCTGTGGTTGGAATATAACTATTCTGCACATGAGGGGGGGAACATTCATCAGAAACTTGGAAATTGGCCTTCCTGGGCACAAAAAAGAAACTTGTAGCTGTTTCCTTGTTTCACCATTCACAAATAGAAAGGGGCAGCTATTCAAGAATCATCAGCATCTTAGAGAACTTCAAATCCAGGTGACCCTTGGGGGGATGGGGAGGGGAAATAAGTGGATTACTAACTCCTTCATCCAAGATACAATTGACATGGCAGCACTGATTGTGCCAATGCAAAGCAAAATGACAGACCTTTCCTGTGACAAGATGCTGCAATGGACTTTCTCTAGGCAGGAACTCAGAAGATTCTGGATGTTTCTTTGGAGGTGTAGGACCTAGGTTCAGTGTAGGACCCTGAAAGCTCAATTTCCATGCCATTTCCACCCTCCTGCTTTTGCAAGTCAGGTTTCTTTTCAACAGTGCCGATAAAAATGAAGTGCCATTGCCTCCTGCTGACTGACAGTGATTAAAGTCAGTGTATTTCCTCAGTTTCACCTTGCGCAGAACATCTTCTGAAAGCACGAGAGGCTCATCCATCACAGTGTTTTAAAATTTGTGTACTTTCTGCATAATGAAGGTTCACCTTTCATACTCTAAAATTAGTTAATTCTTGGAGTATGTTAGAGATACATAGTTTTGCCTACTGATTGTTAGGCTTAAATTGTCCCCGTGGAAGGAATCACAAAATATTTCTTAGCCTGATTTCACTACAGTTTGTGAAATCCCATTCAAGGATGCTGTTAGAGTATTCCATGTTTGCTTTGCTCTATTTTTGTGTTTTCTTTTTATACAAATTATGGGTCATTTCTTGCAGTAAAAATTGACTTTAGAACGCAAATAACCAAATGTTTTTACTTCCTTTTAAACCATGCCGGGTAACCTGATAGTAAGCAAGTTGTCCCATAATCAAGTTACGTATACTGTTACTATTTAGAAAGTATTGTGCTCATATAGAAGAAATCCTTTATCCTTCAAAAACTTCTCCAGGAATAACTAATAATTAGATTTGTCTTTATGCCCTATAATTCTCAGTTACCACTTAAAACAGCACAGTTGCATGGTTCCATAACAAAACTTGAAACTTTCTGAAGTTCACAGAAGTTCAAAGCCTGTCAATGAATCTTGGCCTAGGATCAAAACATACCTCACTAATAGGTTATTATAATTAATAAAAAATAATATTAATAGGGATTCACAATTTGCACAGTACATTCTTGGAGTATTGGATGGTGGGAGGGTGTATCTCAAATCTAAAATGAGATGAAGGTCCATGAGAAGTGACAACAGCAGGCCCAGAGGAACATTTTCTAGTTTTGTTGAGAGGGGAATAGGTATATCAACTCCTCAAAAATATTTTTCATATATAAAAGAGTAGCTGAGGTCTGTTGCTGGGAAAATGAGAGGACAGAGGTAGGAATACAGGTGAGCTTTGTTGTGTATTTTTAAACAAGCCACAGAAATTAATCAGATTTGCAGGAATGTACAAATCTTTGGTTTGAATTTTCTATGAAAGTTACTTTCTAGTAAGATCTATTAAACTCCTATGAGCTGATACTAGGGGAATTCTCACGATGAACACTGAAAGAAAAGCACAAGAAAACTGTATCAACTTCATTCTGAAATATCCTGAACTTTATCCTATTCTACCAGGCTCTAACTATTGTATCATATCAGCAACTTGTAGTCAGACCATCAAATGATATTATTCTGAACTATAACAGTATGTATTTAAATACCATCCATATTTGATGGTATAAATGTACTTGGTGCATTCACTGGCATTAATTACACCTGCCGTTTGGACTGCACTGTGCATTGAGAAGTAGGTTAGTAAAAATATACTTCTCATACAATGTATAGGTTTTTACTATGTAAGGTTAATTGCTTGAGTATAAAAGAGAGATAAAGATTATTATACAAACCAACAGGCTAACAGTGCAGCCAATCTTTTTACCATCCACTTCTCCCATTTTCATGCAGTCCCTAAAAATAAAATGTAACAAAAGTCAGAACACCTGCACTATGGGACAATACAGTTTTTCCCCTCTGAACAAGGAACACATTTCATAAAACAGAATTAAGTAGAAGCAAACTAATTAAAACAATACAGCCTCAGGGCATTCTGCACTGCCAGAAAGCAGATCCAGATGCGTTTGACCTCATGTCTCCTTTTTCTTGCTTGCACGGGCTGTATATTCCACCTCTAGATCAAAAGTTAAGATAAAGCTATGTAGGGCCACTAATGACAACACATGAAGGAAAACAGTGTAAGCATTACAGCCTTGCATTAAAATGATGGAAATTACCCCCACATAGATACTAAGGAAAAATAAAACTGCCAGTGAATACGGTGCTTTGAAAGGTGCTGGACTGACAATCCAGGAGATTGAAGTTCTATTTATCCACAGAAGAGATGTAGCACTGACATTTCTCTAGAAGTTAAGAGTTCAGTCTCCATGACAACTAAATCCTTCAGCTTTTCTCTTAAACCGTAAATAAGGATGACAACCATGATAGATTTTGATGTGTGGACCTTTGCCTTAGGGTCTGGAAACAAAATATCAGCCCTGGAGGTTAAGACACTGGGCTGGGACTCAAGAGATCTGGATTCAATGACTGGTTCTGTCACAGACTTCCTGGGTGATCTTGGGCAAGTCATCCTTTGTGCCTCTGTTCCCCATCAATAAAAATGAGGGTAATGATACTTCCTTTCTCCCTCCTTTGTCTGTGCTGTCTATATAGATTTGAACTCTTCAGCCAGGAATGGTCTCTTGTTATATGTACCGGTAGTGTCTACCACAATGGGCCTAATTTTGGATGGTACCTCTAGGCACTACTAAATAATATTAATAATTTCACTTAGGCTGTGAAACAGCTGTTAGATGATGACTTCTGGCCACTCCCAACCCAGAGGCAGATTTGAACCTGTAACCTAGTGGTGAAAGTCTCCATGTTCCAGTTATCAAAACCCTGCAGGATAATTTTGTTGTCAGAACTTTGAATGCTTCCATATTCTCAATATAAATTATGTGACAATTGCTCACCTGTAGTCCAGTAACCTTTCCATTAGTCGCGTTACAGTGGCAATTAATGAAACACCACTTTCTCTCCACGTTTCCCGCTCAATTTTCTTCAGTAGGCTGGAAAGAAGAAACCCAAAGCAATTTCAACATTTATTTTTATCTGTCACCATGGCAACCACTTTACTTTCAACAGTATCTTAAATGCCTTGGCAATGTCTGCAATATTCACAGATTTAATTTTGGACTCTTCTCACAAGCAGCACAATTTAAAAACAAATATCTTACCTAGGATAGGGACCAAAGAGTGGAATTCTAATCCAGGAAGCATTGACAAAGCAAACGGATTTCTAAGTTAGCCATGTCAAAATCAAAATGCATACAAATATCATCAGATTTATAAAACGTATAAACATTTTAAAACCTTGATACATCCCCAGATTTATAATAGTTTTTGGTTTTCTTACATTTCATTACATGCTGACTGCGTGGGTTACATGCTAACATTTCAGAAAACAGAAAGAAATTGAAGACTAGAGCTGAGTGAATAACTGCTTTTCCAGTTTGGTAGCTAAACCAAAATATATGCAAAATAATTGATTTGTTTCCAGTAGAAACTGAAATTTTTTAGGTTTTCTCAATTAAATGAAAAAATGAAAACATTTAGTTCGAGTCCATTCAAAATGACATTTTCTAAATTAAATGTCAATTATAAATGAACTATTGAAATCATTCATTTAGAAAATCTCAAAACAAACTTGACTTTTTCCAAATTTTTCCTCTTATTTTTTATTCAGTCAAAACTATTCACCGAATTCAACCTGAATTCACAAATAGTTTCAGTCTCTCCAAAACTGCATTTTCTGGCAAATGTACTACTTGACTGAAAAATTTTGCTCCACTCTATTGAAGACTGTTACCTAGAAAAGAACATCCAGCATCTCTAAATTCCCTTTCAATGGGACCTCCAACTTGTTAACATAGATTTTTCCTCACTCACTCTACAATAGTTCTGCACCCACGCAGTTTAACTGTCGTGTAATTGTTATAGGAAAAGCCTTTTACTGAGAGGTGGTTTTTAAAAATATTCTCTTTTAACTTAACATTTGCCCACTCAATACATACCATTTATGCACTGATAGTTTCATTCCTTTAAATATTAAATAACCAAAGGATTTTGTGTGGTAAATGTACCGTATCTAATTCTCCTCTCCCTTATACTAGGGTAAATTAGGATTACACACTGAAGTGAACAGATTTCCTGGGTTAAAAGTAATATTGTATGGGAACTGGCAGTGACACTTATAATGAAGGTGCCCTAATATTTTCCTTTATAAACCCTTGGTTTTGGTTGCTTATAACGCTGCCAAATTTCAACCATTTGGAATCAAATTTTCCACATTTCCTCTCTGCCTGAAGCTAAGATTTTTAAAACTTTCAGCAAAAATTGTTCAGCCATTTCAGAGACCGAAGTTTGGGTAAAATAGGAGGTTTTGTCAATGCGAAAACATTTTCCCAAACCATTTATCTGAAGAGCTCTCGTGTCTCTGTGCTTTGGTACACAGATTTAAAATTTGGCATGAGAGTGGATCCTGTCCCCATGAAACTCGATGAATATTTGGTTGAGTTAGGAGCCTCAAAAAACTGCCATTTGCACATGCTCAGTAGGTAAAATCTCAGAACATTTCTACCTGCAGTGGGAAGGCGGCCAGCTCCACTCACCTTCAACTACACTGAGCATACTCAGCCCCACAGAACTCTTATATACCAACTTCACTGATCATGCTCTCAGCACTCATTGAACTCCTACATACACAGTGCTCCCTATCCTTTGACATAGGGGAAGGTATACAGGGCTGGGAGTTAGGAGGAGACTTACTGCTGTCTGGTGCCAATTCTGTGCACTTAACAGCCCATATCATTGAGCAAGGCCTCACACTTCTATCTTCGGGTATGTATTCACTATCCATCGGATTTGGTGGGCAGCAATCGATCCAATGGGGATAGTCTAGACGCGATAAATCGACCCCCGAGCGCTGTCCCGTTGACTCCTATACTTCAGCACCACGAGAGGCGTAGGAAGAGTTGACTGGGGAGTGGCAGCTGTTGACTCACCGTGGCGAAGACACCACGGTAAGTCAATCCAAGTATGTCGACTTCACCTACGTTATTCACGTAGCTGAAGTTGTGTAACTTAGATAGATTCCGCCCGCCCCCCCCAGTGTAGACCAGGGCTTAGGAACAGGTATCATTCTCCCAATTTCAACAAGGGAAACCTTAGAATTCTAATTTGGCAAATCCATGTCTTTTTCACTAGCCACACTGCTTTTCAGAATGAATGCACGGACAAACTTAATTCTGGCATTTCCTAACTTTTGAATACTTACCTTTGCACCATAACATTCTTTTAACACCAGTTTTTGTATATAAGAAACAAGAGGAGAATCAAGACTATTGTATAGCCAGAAGACAATACTGACTACATTTCTCTCTTCACATTGCTTTTCAACCTTACTTTAAATGAGGGTATTTCAAATTAAATTTAAAAACAAGAATATTTAGTATGCTTCTAAAAATGGCAGAAGTCTAACCTTTCTAAAAAAGATGAGTCTATTGTATATCTGACTTACGTAAGTTCTATTTATATGTATAAATGTACACTATACAGTTTCTACTTGAGAATGTATGAATATATTAAATATCTTTATTTAAACAACAAATTGCCTTTTCAATTTGACAACTTCCTGTCTTCTCCTTTGCATCATTCTACTTTCACAGATAATGCACAGAGAAAACATTCATAACAAAAGAGCCACTCAAACACATCCCCAGGCTTCTCACGGCAAGATCAAGATAAAATTTGAGAAAGATGACTGGCATTTCAGTTAAGCTTCTGTTCTCTCCTGCATGTTGTATCAGAAACTCTGAACACACTTTATTTTAATACCTCTTCTCTGTGATCTCTTTATCACTGCTTTCCAGCCCCTCCCCATTTTTGTACGACCTGGAGAATGCCTGCTTTCATCATTCAGTTCTTGTTAGACACTGGACTTTATGCACAGCACAGGTGAAGAGTGTTGTGAAATATTGTGCAAATATGATGAATAGGACAGGCAGTGCAGTGGAACCTGACTCCGCATTCCTGAGAGCACTTCTGCCCGGCCTCACTACTCTTTACTCATAGCTGGAGTAACTCTAAAAAGGGGAGTATGATACTCGATACCTCAGCACCATCCTCACCACTTTTTTTTACTCTGTGCTCTTAGAAACAAAAGAGTGGGTGCTAAAATGAGTTAGATCTGCAGAGTGCGGAAGAAGACGCACAGTCCTGAATCTTGGTATTAGCCAGACTTGTACAAAACCACTTTGCCATATTAAGTTCTTACTGATGAAAGAACTGATATTTCCCCACCTGATTTCGGCACTGAAGATTAGTTGTCAGGAGTGAGCTCCTTCAGCTGAATTTGAGGATTAGCTAGCCCCGCTTCCAGGCAGATTAATGAGGTCAGGTGGGTTGTGGTAGGATGGACTGATTGACTGGCCTACCTGATTGGCTGAGGGGAGCCAGCAGCAGGCCATTTAAGCTCAGCAGCAGGGTTGCTGGCTGTTCAATGTGTATGCCCACAGTCACCATCACTTCTGTGCCTCCCTTGGTTCTAATCTTGCTCCTCTCCTGAATATAAGAACAGCCATACTGGGTCAGACCAATGGCTACCTAGCCCAGTATCCTGTCCTCTGACAATGGCCAGTGCCAGGTGCTTCAGAGGGAATTAACAGAACAGGGCAATTATTGAGTGATTCCCATCTCCTGTCATCCAGTCCCAGTTTCTGGCAATCAGAGGCTTGGGGACACACAGCATGGGATAGTGTTCCTTACAATCTTGGCTTATAGCCATTGATGGATCTATAATCCATGAACTTACCTAATTCTTTTTTGAACCAAGTTATATTTGGCCTTCACAACATCCCCGGGCAATGAGTTCCACAGGTTGACTGAGCGTTGTCTGAAGAAATACTTCCTTATGTTTGTTTTAAATCTGCTTCCTATCTATTTGATTGGGTGACACCTGGTTCTTGTGTTATGTGAAGGAGTAAATAACACTTCCCTATTCACTTTCTCCACGCTATTCATGATTTTATAGACCTCTATCATTTCTCCCCTTAGTCATCTCTTTTTCAAGATGAAATGTCCCAGTCTTTTTAATCTATCCTCAAATGCACGCTGTTCCACACCCCTAATTATTTTTGTTGCCCTTCTCTGTACTTTTTTCAATTGTAATGTACCTGCTCCGATCCACTTCAGCCCCACTTTCCTGCTTGCTCCTGCCTATGGCTCTGACACTTGGCTTGACTCCTGATTCCTGACTCTGTCCCTTGGTTCTGGTTCCTGACTCCAGCCACTAGGCCTGACCACTCATGCCCTGGTCGTGACAGACGTCAATCCTGCTTCAAGCTTACACTACTCAGGCTTCTCCCTCTAAATTTACTGGTTGAGCATGTGAGGCATTACTATCTGACAAGTCTCTCTGTAACGCAGTAACTTTTGAATGATGCAACAACTCAATTCCAGAATTGTAGGGTCTGTTGTAGGCATCAGTAGGCAAACCTATTGATTTTGGTGAGATTCAGAAAACCAGAAGAGGGAAATGGGGACAGATGGAGCTCCTGGTATCTGCTTAGCAGACCCAGCAACTTCAACCACTCAGTAATTGTGTATAGATCAAAGTATTGGTTGATGGTAGGCATTAACATCTTCCAGTATAGCAACACCCCATCTCAGCTCTACCCATCCTCCTAATATAGTTTAAAATGTTGACATCCTGAATCACCAAGACAGAAAGAAAAGAAATAAGATTGGTGGGGCATGGGGAAACGAGAGGCAGGGGAAATGGGGTGCACACACAGAACTCCTGGCATGGGGAGAAAATAGGGGACTTGGTATGGGAGGGAGAGGGAATGGGGGAACAGAGTGAGACAAGGGGGAGAACACAGAGTTCCTGACATGGGAGGAGTGGAAACATAGAATCATAGAATATCAGGGCTGGAAGGGACCCCAGAAGGTCATCTAGTCCAACCCCCTGCTCGAAGCAGGACCAAATCCCAGTTAAATCATCCCAGCCAGGGCTTTGTCAAGCCTGACCTTAAAAACCTCTAAGGAAGGAGATTCTACCACCTCCCTAGGTAACGCATTCCAGTGTTTCACCACCCTCTTAGTGAAAAAGTTTTTCCTAATATCCAATCTAAACCTCCCCCACTGCAACTTGAGACCATTACTCCTCGTTCTGTCATCTGCTACCATTGAGAACAGTCTAGAGCCATCCTCTTTGGAACCCCCTTTCAGGTAGTTGAAAGCAGCTATCAAAGCCCCCCTCATTCTTCTCTTCTGCAGGCTAAACAATCCCAGCTCCCTCAGCCTCTCCTCATAACTCATGTGTTCCAGACCCCTAATCATTTTTGTTGCCCTTCGCTGGACTCTCTCCAATTTATCCACATCCTTCTTGAAGTGTGGGGCCCAAAACTGGACACAGTACTCCAGATGAGGCCTCACCAATGTCGAATAGAGGGGAACGATCACGTCCCTCGATCTGCTCGCTATGCCCCTACTTATACATCCCAAAATGCCATTGGCCTTCTTGGCAACAAGGGCACACTGCTGACTCATATCCAGCTTCTCGTCCACTGTCACCCCTAGGTCCTTTTCCGCAGAACTGCTGCCTAGCCATTCGGTCCCTAGTCTGTAGCTGTGCATTGGGTTCTTCCGTCCTAAGTGCAGGACCCTGCACTTATCCTTATTGAACCTCATCAGATTTCTTTTGGCCCAATCCTCCAATTTGTCTAGGTCCTTCTGTATCCTATCCCTCCCCTCCAGCGTATCTACCACTCCTCCCAGTTTAGTATCATCCGCAAATTTGCTGAGAGTGCAATCCACACCATCCTCCAGATCATTTATGAAGATATTGAACAAAACCGGCCCCAGGACCGACCCTTGGGGCACTCCACTTGATACCGGCTGCCAACTAGACATGGAACCATTGATAACTACCCGTTGAGCCCGACAATCTAGCCAGCTTTCTACCCACCTTATAGTGCATTCATCCAGCCCATACTTCCTTAACTTGCTGACAAGAATACTGTGGGAGACCGTGTCAAAAGCTTTGCTAAAGTCAAGAAACAATACATCCACTGCTTTTCCTTCATCCACAGAACCAGTAATCTCATCATAGAAGGCGATTAGATTAGTCAGGCATGACCTTCCCTTGGTGAATCCATGCTGGCTGTTCCTGATCACTTTCCTCTCATGCAAGTGCTTCAGGATTGATTCTTTGAGGACCTCTCCATGATTTTTCCAGGGACTGAGGTGAGGCTGACTGGCCTGTGGTTCCCAGGATCCTCCTTCTTCCCTTTTTTAAAGATTGGCACTACATTAGCCTTTTTCCAGTCATCCGGGACTTCCCCCGTTCGCCACGAGTTTTCAAAGATAATGGCCAATGGCTCTGCAATCACAGCCGCCAATTCCTTCAGCACTCTCGGATGCAACTCGTCCGGCCCCATGGACTTGTGCACGTCCAGCTTTTCTAAATAGTCCCTAACCACCTCTATCTCCACAGAGGGCTGGCCATCTCTTCCCCATTTTGCGATGCCCAGCGCAGCAGTCTGGGAGCTGACCTTGTTAGTGAAAACAGAGGCAAAAAAAGCATTGAGTACATTAGCTTTTTCCACATCCTCTGTCACTAGGTTGCCTCCCTCATTCAGTAAGGGGCCCACACTTTCCTTGGCTTTCTTCTTGTTGCCAACATACCTGAAGAAACCCTTCTTGTTACTCTTGACATCTCTGGCTAGCTGCAGCTCCCGGTGCGATTTGGCCCTCCTGATATCATTCCTACATGCCCGAGCATGGAGGCACACAAAGCCTTTGGCACTTGGGGAGGGAAACGGGGAATGAAGGAATAGGGCAGTATACAATGTCACTGGCAGGAGGGAATGGGAGACACACAGAGCCCTGGTATGAAGGAGGGGATGGGGAGCTGCAGGGCGTCCCTGAAATAGAAGGGGGTGGGAAGGTGGCACACAAGGACCTTGTGGGAGAATGGGGAGACACATGGAGTGCCTGACATGTACAATAAGCTGGCCCTCTAGTATGTGTGGCCCTCTAGTTTAAGACCACTGGAGCACATCTGTTGCGGTTTGCAATGCATATCATATAAAAATGAATGGCTTGCCCAGTAAGTTCAGAAGGTTGCAATAATTTTCTACACGTTATTTAGCATGAGAGGCTTTTGGAAAGGAAGGGCCTGTGTAAAAGTCATACATTACTTAAAAACTAAAAGTAAGCTTCTGATCTGAGCAACTGTGCAGCACAACACAAAGATTTTGTTCTAATTGTCAACCTTTTTGTAAAACATAAACATGTATTTTCACGTTATTCAGCTAGAACCCTCAATTGTTTTTAATTTCAGATTAACAATTTAAAGGGAGATCAGGGGTTCTTTTTCTGTCTGGATGATATTAGGGAGAAAATACAGCAACTGGCCCTTAATTACACCAAAACATCTACAGCTCCTGCTCTTTAGTACCATTCATTAATGACTAAGCCCTACAGTCCATGACTTCCAGAGACCTCCATGACATTCTCTGACCTGGGGTTGGAGCTATCAGCAGGCGGTCCCCCGCAGCTCCTATCTGCTGGGCAGCAGGGGGACCCTGGAGCTCCCAGCCCCTGTGGGTGGGGTCCCCTGGAGCTCCCACAGGTGTGGGAGGGGCTCCCCGCAGCTGCCCAGCCATGGCGGGCAGTGAGGGAACCCCACAGTGGCTCAGCCATGATGGGCAGAAAGGAGACTCTGCAGTGACTCAGCCACTGGGGCGGGGGAGGTGGGGGAGGAGGGCAAGGGGACCCCAGAGTCCCCAGCCACTGTGGGTGCTGGACCCTCCTCCCTCCCCATTTCGTCAGGGATATTTTTAGTTAAAATCATGGACAGGTCATGGGCTTTCATGAATTTTTGTATATCCCTGACAAAATCTGAGCCTTAGTAACGATATGTTGGTGATTGTGAGACAGCCCTCCGGTCACTTCTAAATCTCCCTGGATGATGCCTGCCAAAAGATAAATAGCAACAATGCTTCTCCCTTTGCATTTTATAGGATATTTCATTATAAACATCAAAATCCCAAGCATACAACATTTTAAAGATGTCCAATGACATCTATAATTTGGCTATAAAAGCAAGATGTGTCTTCAGTGGAAAAGTGCTTATGGATTGCTCAGAAAAATTAAGTTAACCTGGGAACATGGAGATAGCATGAATCAGAAACAGAATATCTCCAGAGAGAGAGAGAGAGAGAACAGGACAAATACCCAAATACTGTTTAAATTGATATGCTGTGTCCAGAAAATGCATGAAGATTATCTGTGTCCCCATGACTTCATACATCTACAAATTAGGGGGCAATCTGAAGACTCATATTTGATCATGTAAAATGAATGCACTTCCATTTCCCAAAACAAAGCTATGACTACTTGAAAACTGTGCTAGTGCTTTCCACTTCCTTGAACTAATGTGCCCATCATTTTATTATCACCTCAGTCTAATCACATGCGCACAATTTTTAAATCAAGGAGCCATGTGACAAAATCCTCCAATAATAGCTGCTTAAATTGATGATGGAAGAAAATCTCAGACACCTTGACACTAAGAATCTGATCCTTGAAATAATGACTTCAAAGCTTTTAACATTTTCAGGATTCCTTTTCTTCAAGTCACCTGTTACAGTAGTGTCTTCCATTTTAGATCCATATGCACCTAAACCCCTCCAGTCAGGAAAAGTAGTATGAGACTTCTTCTGAATTAAATTACACATAATCATTCTTAAGTAACTGCGTTTAGAAAATGCTTTACCATTCTTCCACTACCTTTTAAAATCTATCTCAATTTCAACACTCAGCTTTTTCAAGAATTATATTTCAGATACCAATATATTTTCTGACATCATTAGAAGTCACTTCAATCAGTGAATGACACGCTTCTGCACTGGAGTAAATGCAGGCTTTATTACTTCATAAAAGAACTTCTCCTTTAATGCTGTTGTCTTAAATATTACACTGTTACTAAAATTTCTGAAAACTTTCTTAGCTTTTATTATTTTTACTTGATCTATCTTAATGTTTAAAGAACGATTACTACACAAATTATCTTTTACTATACTCTTCAGCTGTAATTTCACCTCAAACTTCCCTTTCCTTCTCTGTATGTTATGGGCAGAAGCATTTATTTTGGTATTATGGGTTTTTTTCCCCACAATGGAATTATAGGAGTATTATGTGCTTGGCATATGTACCAACAAAAAGACATAAATGCAATTGTTTTTAATTCTAGAGCAATAAAGCTAAAATATCACTTTTCCCTTCCATTTAAAAAGGAAGAAGCCTAATTAAAAAAAAACTGTATGTGTAATAGCACTGGGAAATACACATGTAAAATGGAATCCAGTGGAGGAACAATATATATTGTACTAAAGTGACTATAAATAGGTCTCCCACATGGTTGAAGTTGAAATGGGTGTGTGTGTGTGGGAGGGGAAACAGTTCATGTTTTTGTGTCTGTGATGGTCACCAATTTCAGTCACCAGGAATAACACATGGGCAGTCCTAGGAGTTCCATTATAAAGGAAGCATTTGTCCTCTTTCACCATTAGATTCTGATGTTATGAACCAATTATTAAAACATATGCAATGTCTAAAAATCATTTGTAAATAGAATTATTACATGAGATTAATCTTATCAGTCATTCTGTAATCCATCAGGAAATCAACAAGTGAAACATTATTTGAACAATAGCAAATTTTGGTTAGTTATGAGAATGATTTAACAAAACAGCTATTTATTAAGCTCATGTTTTACAAATGTGATGTAAAAAAATTTATGTTCTAACTGCATCCCACCCACCTACTAAACATCTTTGGCTTTTCTGGTTTTAAAATTAGTATGAGTGATAATAGAGAACAGTTTATGGTATAACATAGACACAACTAGTCATCAAAGATACAATAAGATACATTACTTTATTTAGGCAACTAGCCTTTATTTCACAGGTTTCAAAAACGACAAAAACATTCCGAGATCACAGCTCTTTCTGCAGTTTTTGTCCACAATGATATTTAGCAGCTAATCCATCAAATGGAACACAATGAATGAATTAAAAGCAAATTTATTACTCACATGCTGTTGAAGAGCTCTCGGTACGTTTCGTCACCTTTGCCTTCTGACATCAAGCTATCCAATTTGTCAATCAGTTTTGCCTCCACCTGGAACATATTCACATAAAAGGCTTCTTTGTACTTAAATTAGGTTTGAGCAAATTGAAAAAAAATGATTTTTTTCTGTAAGAGGTTTTGTTAAATGGATTCCCTAGTATTATCGTTAAGAAATGTAAATTTCAGGATAGGTCACTTCATCTTCTGTCATCCCGGAGGTTTTTTTGGGACGAATTTAAATGAAGCAATGTGATTCAACCTACAGGCTGAGCAGCATTTGTGGCTGCTAAGGCAGCTATCTATTTATAGAGTCAAACAAAAAAGCATGCAGCCCAACGAGACTGCCTGAATTCTTACTGAAGGGCTGCAAGAGCAAGTCATTATTTGGACCTTAATATAAAACCAACTCTCTCCGATTCCCACATCCCATTCTTTAAATCCAGGGATTAACAGTTTGGGGCTTATAGTTACTCCTGCTGACACTGAAAACCTACCCTGACTCCAATGTAATGTATATAGCAGATGCACTGAAATTCCGAGTCATCTGTCAAGAAGAGTTGGAGAATAAAGGTTTTATAGCTGAAAATCATTGCATAAAATATTTGTAACTATATTGATCATTGAGAAAATGTAGACAAGGTTGCTTTGTTTATTAATGCATCAAAAGAGAATCACCTCCCCTCCAGCAATAGAGATACTTAGTGACTGAAAAACTAGAGGAGAAACTAGTCTATTATTGAAGTTGCTCTATTAAATCATGAATCATAATTACAGTGTACCTTTAAGCCAATGATCAATACAGAGTGAATCAGAAAGTCAGTGCTTTGCTAATGCAGAATCTGTTTTTCAACTAGTCTTCATCATCATTTTTACAATTATTTTAACAATGTGTTTAAAAAATGTGAGGGGAACAAAACACTTACATCACATGCATCTCCATTCGCATAGTTTGTTTTGTGTTTCCAAATACTCCAACTGCTCCTACAGCTCCCACTCCAATCCTTATCATTGCCTGAAATTATTTCAAATACTTCTGCTTTGCTTCATTTGAAACAGCACGAAGGAGAACACAGTGAAGTGGTTTGAGGCAGCTGGAAAGAACTGAGTGGGAGCCAAAAGAGCAGATGGCATATTTAGCAGTTCCTTACTTGATGCCTAAGCTAGTACTTGAGAGGCAAGAATAGTTGGATACTTGCAGAACTTGGTTTCTTGTAAAAGTCAGTCTTTTGATGGCTGGGTGAACAGATATCAGACATTATGTCAGTAAGCCATCACGGTATCATTCTTGAGTTTCTTCTTCATTATCTTTTTTTTTTCCAATATATACTACTAAAGTGGAAAAATAAAACAACCCCATTGAAGTCAACAGGAGTTTTGGCATTGACTTCAATGGGGCTAGAATATCCCATCCCCATCTTAAATTAGCTACATAAAAATATTGAACAGAAAAACCCATGGAGAGCTTAGAGAGCCAAAGGGTCTTCAAGAGCCATTAGCCTATAATTCTACCATCTTCCCTCAAATGAAGGTTGTCATTTCTCCATCCTGCTCCATCACAGATTCTGCTAACAAGTTAATAGTTCAGTGCCAAGGCTGCCTGAGAAAAATTTGAATGTCAATCTTCCCTGCTAAACAGCTTCACACACGGTACCTGTTTGAAGTTGCCACTGCGCCTTTGTTCCCAATCCATCATGTCATGGAAAATGGGAATCATTACATTCCGTAGGTCAGGCTGCGGTATCAGTGTCACTTCTAGGAAGGGGCCAATGAGAGCTGGGATGAAGTGAAGTTTATGTTCCCCTAAGATTAAAAGGAAGCTGAATGTGAATTGGGTTCACTCTTCGTGAGTTACCAAACGATCCAAATGAAACAATATTGTATGAAGAATTATGAAATGGCATTCTAAATGTTTGCAGTTTGGTTGGCGGATAGCACACCTGGCATGTGCTATTTCTCAAACAAACAGCAGGAAAAGGAAGAGGAAAAGCCACAGAAAAGAGCCGAAGAGAGGATCAGCCTGATGCATCACATTTTACAATGGAGTTCTGAGCTCATGAATGATGTTGGGTTGTTTACTCCCAATGCCATTTTTTTGGAAGGGGAAGAGGAAGAAGTAAAAGGTTCAATGGACATTGCTTTATTTAAGACTACTTTAAGAACATCTTTTGCAAAAAGGTTTTTCCCTTTTGCAGGTAGAAATTGCTCCTGCATTTTTGTCCCTCCAAATACGGTTTACTACTTGAGAGCATATTCACATTAGGTGGAGGCACAAGTACTCAGATTTGCAGCCACCCTTCATTTTGTGGCACAGAAATGGGAGTATAAATTTTGCCTGCAAAAAATGGATGCTTGGACTGTTTTTCTCAAAATGTTTCCCTTTAGAAAAAAAGCTGACACCTCTGCCATTAACTTACTATATTCTACTTGGATGTTGTAGAGGTCTCCCAATAGTAGGTAAATTTATATACCCCATGGTATATGTTGCACAAGGAGGTGAGGTTAAATTAGGAGATTTACCTGTAGCTTTGAATTATTTAGCTTCTGTCACTTGCAGGATTATTATACTGTCTGTTTTGAGAGTTCTGGTCTATCACAATTGCCAGACATGCAAAGAGGTTGAGAAGGGGGAAAAAGCAACCAACAATTGTAGTGAAAGAAAAGACAACACATTTTGTAGAGGGCAAGGTTTTCAAAAGCACCTGTGTCATTTAGGAGCACAGGTCACAATGTAAATTGAAATTGCTTGTAATATATTTTCATTCCTTTCAATGGGACTTGTGCTCCTAGGTCACGTCGCTACTTATGAATATCAATTCCATAGTTAACTATCAAACTCAAGAGCAAAACCCCTTTAGAATATGGTGCTTTATCAAATGTCGATATACAATTGAAGTAAACACCTTATGCACCGCCAGCACCTGGTTCACCATTGTGTTTCTCCAATTTACACCAGTGGAACTCCATTGACTTTAGCTAGAGTTACACAGATGGGAAACCAAGCCTCTAATGTTTAAAATTCTACAATAAACTTGCAGAAATATTTATTAAATCATTCTTTGATTGCATCAGGTTTGTTAATTAATTGGATTAGGAAATTAACATGAATTATTGTTGCTTTTATATTAACTGTAAGGTGCATAAATGCCATGGCTCTAGGAACTTTGTACACTTTTAAAAAACTACATCCATTTCTCCAGGCCTTAGAAAACTCAAGCCCATGCATCCAGAACAAACCCACTTGTACAGGTATAATTAAATCAAATAAGCTTCCACAGCAGGTGTGTCCTTCAGCAGAGCAGTCCTCCAGTCTGTGATACAGCAGGATTCCTTGTACGCTCCTCCTCAATGAATACTGCTTGTGAGTCACCTTGTTGGTGGGCACTAGTTGGACATTTGTTGTTCTTTTGAGACAAAAAGTGATTCCCATAACAAGAAAGATGCTCTTTACACCAAATTGTGTAATTCCCTTGTTAAGAGTGTGATCCTTTGGTGAATTCACCAATTCCAGAGACCGGCAGCTTCTATTCAGAGAAGGAAAGACCTTGCTCTTCCCTGTTTGTTAATATAATAAAATATTGTCATGTTGTCTGGCATGATCTGACTATGAAAGTTCTAAATAAACAGCAGGAACTGTTTGTAACAGGATACCTGGACCCACCAAGAATCCAATCTGTCAAGGTGGGCTTCTCAACATAGCAAGTAGATATCTGTAATCAATCTTTTTGTGGGCGGAGTACAGACAAATGGCAGTTCTAAGATGACCTTTTTATTTGGTGGAGCAATCTCCTCCATGCTCTGGAGGATATCCAATAGCTGATGAGGGGTGTCCTGTAATTTCTCCAGGTGGTTCTGGAATGTGTCTGCAATTCTCTTTAGGAGGTCCCAGCATTGCCTACAGTCATCAGGTGGTGATGGTGAAGCAGGTGTGACCACTTTATCTGGTGAAGACAATGACAAACTTGCAGGGGCTGTGGCTCAGCCTGCTGAGATTCTTCCTCAGAGCATACCTGCATGGGTTGAAGTTCTTTCTCACGTGGGAATCATAGAATATCAGGGTTGGAAGGGACCTCAGGAGGTCATCTAGTCCAACCCCCTGCTCAAAGTAGGGCCAATCCCCAACTAAACCATACCAGCCAGGGCTTTGTCAAGCCTGACCTTAAAAACCTCAAAGGAAGGAGATTCCACCACCTCCCTAGGTAACGCATTCCAGTGTTTCACCACCCTCCTAGTGAAAAAGTTTTTCCGAATATCCAACCTAAACCTCCTCCACTACAACTTTACACCATTACTCCTCGTTCTGTCATCTACTACCACTCAGAACAGTCTAGATCCATCCTCTTTGGAACCCCCTTTCAGGTAGTTGAAAGCAGCTATCAAATCCCCCCTCATTCTTCTCTTCCGCAGACTAAACAATCCCAGTTCCCTCAGCCTCTCCTCATAAGTCATGTGTTCCAGTCCCCTAATCATTTTTGTTGCCGTCCGCTGGACGCTTTCCAATTTTTCCACATCCTTCTTGTAGTGTGGGGCCCAAAACTGGACACAGTACTCCAGATGAGGCCTCACCAATTTCGAACAGAGGGAAACAATCACGTCCCTCGATCTGCTGGGAATGCCCCTATGTATACATCCCAAAATGCCATTGGCCTTCTTGGCAACAAAGACTCACTACTGACTCATATCCAGCTTCTCGTCCACTGTCACCCCTAGGTCCTTTTCTGCAGAACTGCTGCCTAGCCATTCGGTCCCTAGTCTGTAGCGGTGCATGGGATTCTTCCGTCCTAAGTGCAGGACTCTGCACTTGTCCTTGTTGAACCTCATCAGATGTCTTTTGGCCCAATCCTCTAATTTGTCTAGGTCCCTCTGTATCCTAGTCCTACCCTCCAGCTTATCTACCACTCCTCCCAGTTTAGTGTCATCTGCAAACTTGCTGAGGGTGCAATCCACACCATCCTCCAGATCATTTATGAAGATATTGAACAAAACCGGCCCCAGGACTGACCCTTGGGCACTCCGCTTGATACCGGCTGCCAACCAGACATGGAGCCATTGATCACTACCAGTTGAGCCTGACAATCTAGCCAACTTTCTATCCACCTTATAGTCCATCCAGCCCATACTTCTTTAACTTGCTGGCAAGAATACTGTGGGAGACCGTATCAAAAGCTCTGCTAAAGTCAAGGAACAACATGTCCACTGCTTTCCCCTCATCCACAGAGCCAGTTATCTCGTCATAGAAGGCAATTAGATTAGTCAGGCATGACTTGCCCTTGGTGAATCCATGCTGACTGTTCCTGACCAATTTGCTCTCCTCTAAGTGCTTCAGAATTGATTCCTTGAGGATCTGCTCCTTGATTTTTCCAGGGACTGAGGTGAGGCTGACTGGCCTGTAGTTCCCAGGAACCTCCTTCTTCCCTTTTTTAAAGATGGGAATGGCTATTTTGACTTTATTCTGACCTTCTGTAGTCATAATGTCTTATATATGGATCTCAGGAACCCTAGTGTGAGGCATCACTGGTGTAATGGGGTAATCCTCTTGGATACAGGCACTGACTTCTATTTGTGCTGGTGGGTGCTCCTCTCCATCCCTCCCCCCATGCGAGTGGTGGTGGGGCCTCAGGGAGGAACAGGCTGAGTGGGGTCAGGGCCTAATGGTGGAATGGAGGTGGAACAGTTGGGGGGGACTATGGTCCAGGTGCTGGCATCGATAAAATATTAATCCAGCCCTGTGGCTGCTGAGCACCCCCTATTTTTTTTCAGTGGGTGCTTGAGCCCTGGAGCACCCTATGCTCATGGAGGGGAGTACCATTGGTCCCGAGGTTGGTCAGTCTCTCTTGTAGGAGTGGGAAGGTGCCCATGATTTTTTGAAGCCTGTGTCAGGGATGAATTCCTATCTTGACAAGGGCTGTGAAGTTCTCCAGCTGATCCCACATTCATCAGCAAAGAATGAAGCCTCTACGTCAATGCATGTGGTGCCATCAGTACCGGCGGTCTAACTATGTCCCAGCAAGTCACTGATACTGTGAGTGGCAAACTGATGATGTGTTGACCTCTCTGGGTAGGACTGGATCCGACACCACTGGCAATTCTGGGTTTGCAGAGATGGTAAGGTCCTCCAGGATAATGTATCTACCCCCGATGGAGGATAATGGATAGTATTCCTGTCCCTTGGTGGTACCAGATGTGCCTGATTACTTACATCATCTTTCAGTACCAATGACTCCTTTTCTCTGCAAGTTGGTACCACTGGTGTTCTTCTGAAAGAACTGGATTTGAGATAACCCACAGCCATCTTGTGGACTGAGCCACCATAAGCTGGAAGTGAGGACACCACCTAATGAGAAAGAATTTGGCCTTGCTTAGGCGACGAAAACTTCCGCACAGCTGCAGTGTTACTAACAAGGATTGCTGACCTTGGTCTGGGTGCTTGTGTCTAAGTTTCTTGCAAGAGCTGATTTCTTGATAAGTAGAAACTATGAGGTTTTTTTCTGTTACTAGAGAAACAGCTCGTGAGGGGTTACTTTGAGTTATGCTTTGTTTTGAGTTACCTATAAAAAGATAAGTTAGAGAGTGTACTTTGGATAAGTTTGGATTTTCTATGAGTAAGAAGATACTGCCATTAATCTCTCCAATGGATAGGAGGAAGGCTGGCCACTAGAAATCTGCTGTTGATGTCACTCAATACCATCTCAGACTTTGGGGAACTATGGGGGGGGGGGGGAAGAGGCGGATCTGACAGGCTGGGGTTGGACTGAGGTCTCATTGAACAATCCATGATGAAGCCTGGAATCTTGGAAGTCTGAATTCATGGGATTAATGGGTTTGTTGAGGAAAGGATTGTGATATGTTACACTTTGAGGGGATATAAGCTTCCCTGAGACAGAGGCCCAGTGGCAGGCCACGCAGATCTTGAATCTGAATTTTTTCAAGTGTTTTTATTTCTATACCTTGATCACCTTGATCAACTGGTCTTTCAGCCCTCGTATAGATTGCACTGATCACAACACGTCTTCCATTCATATTTAGAAACAATAATAGGAAAAATACACTAGAAATGACATACAATAAATACAGGTCACGGTGGCTCAATCCTCAAGCTGAGCTCAGTGCACGTCAGTGGACGGGGTATAAGTTACATAATGCCAACTTTCCAACCTCTGCAATCCAACATACATCCCAGCTAATTTCCCTGTGAGATGTGCCACAGTCTGAGGATCAGTTGGAGTGCTGAGCTTACTGGCTTGACCCTTTCCAAGCCCTGCCATGCTCCTTAAACTTACAAGTAGGAGCGGGTGGAATAAAGATAGCCTTCCTGGATGGAGCTGATGCTCCTCTGTTCACTAGTCTGTGATCCTAGCTGCGAGGCCACTGGCATACAGTTGTACATGGTGGAACAGAAAGAGATGGGTCTCCAGTTGCTGGGGTCATCTCACTCATCTTTCTTGTAGACGAGCACCATCATAGTTTTCTTCCAGGAGCTGGGAACATGGTGGAACTGTTTGCATTTGTTGAAAATGGCAGTTAATACCAGGCAACTGGGGTCTCGTTTTTTCAGGAAGTTGCAGTGAATGCCATCTTTTCCTGGAGCTGTGTTTTTGGTCTTTGTAAGTCTGGTCATTACTTCCTGTGATGTGAAGTCTTCTTCCTGGCCCCCTGCAGAGTCAATCTGGGGTAAAGGATGAATGTACCCTGGACGCTGTGTGTCGTTCTGAGCTACACAGTCAAACACAGCCTTGAAGTATGAGAACAGTCTCTCAGTTGGGATTGCACAGTAAGATGAGGGCCCGTCAAGGATGTCTCTTAGAGTCTTGGGGCCATTTGACTGGTAGAGCTCCTGGATCCTGCTGCTGGATTGTAGTGGCAACTGATGTTCCTTCTCCTGGCTTCTCTGATGTTGTTGTTATGGCTCCACACAGGAGTTCTGTGAGCAGTCGGTGTGTTCTCCTGAGTTACCTTCCTCCCAGATACTTTACCTGTCAGTGGGTATTTTTGACTTACAAGTCATGGGAAGATGATGGTTTTGAGAAAGTATTAGCTTTAATTAATAAACAAGAGTGCCCAAATTACTGGGATGGACAGATGAGGAATACACACTTACTTACAGGCAAGAATTTTTGTATGTACAAATGTAACCCCATTGTCAAAAAACAAAATCTATCATTTAGATTTTTCTTATCTTTCAGAATCTTGGAAAACAACAGTTTCCCATAGAGGAAAGAAGGCATCACAATGATGATAATTATTTGATTTGAGCATTATGTTCATTCTCAGTTTTTCCAAGAAGTAAACAGAATTGGAGCTAGTGGCCAACATTTGTATCCAAAGCATTAGGTGAGTTTCAATCAAGGGGATTGGTGTATGTCAAATAAACTACTTTCATCAAAGGATCTGAAAACACTTTGCAAATCCAAACAATTAATTCAACTTCTTAACATTTTTAAAAAAAATTAGAATGGTTTTCCAGGAGGATAAACCAACAAACAAAAAGGTAGTGCCTTGCCCAGATAAACTGGCAGAACCAGTAATATAATGCAGGAGTCTTAACTAAAATTCATTACAAATTTTGTTCAACTTTTTTGTGCTACTTTGTTTCACTGTTAATCTTTATTGAGGAGATTTTTTTTTAATTCCTTACCTAAATTTTGCCACATGCTGAAGATTTCACATCCCATTGTTACCCGCATGTCACCATATCTGTGAAATATTTAAAAAAAACCAACATTTAAGCAGAACATTATTTAGGAAATAATTTTACAAGCTCATACTATAATTTAGGCTCCTGTGTAGCAAGGTGAACTGTGAGATTTCCACACAGTAATGATTTTTCCCAAGTTTAGGATGGATGTAGTACACAGAAAAGGAAAAAGGAAGTTTGCTAATGTCCAATACGTATCTAATCAAATGGCTTGTTTCATAAAGAAACATTAATTTCCACATATTGTTAGTGCAAGCTCCCTAAAGGTACAAACAGGAACAATGATACAACAAAGTAGTGATACCAATCTATGTTCTTAATATGCCTCAGATTTTTTCCTTCCTCTTCTGCCTCAGATAACTAATAATTTTATTTTATCCTGTGATGTTTTTTTCTGGACACCCAGAACTATAAGGCACTCTGTGTCTCAGCAAGCGTGAACTTCACTGGAAATAGACAGGGTGACAGCCACCGTAGTCTAACTCATCAGCAAATTCCTTGAGATTCTGCCAGCCTAAACCTTGATTTACAAGTAACAATCACTCAACCCAGTTTCTGAGAGATGTCTCTCTACAGTGTCCAGTCCCTCTTACTGTGACTCACAGACATGATAAAGTTCACTGCCTCCAAACAGACAGAGCACACACTAGTCTGTTAGTGTTAAAGACTCATACTTTACTTTAATACTCAGTACTGAGCTGGTTTTGTAATAAAACAAGAATAAGTTTTTTAATAAAGAACAGAGATATAAGTGATGCTAAGCAAAAGTAAAAGTGACAGATATGGTTACAAACAAAACAAAACCCACTTTCTAGTGTCTAAAGCTTAAAGTACAATCCTGGTCTCAGGCAAATCTTTCATATATAGTCAGCTCCCATAAACTTCAACCCACATGGCTGAAGGAACCACCTTCCACAGTTTCCAGGAGCTCTGACTCTTTTGTCATTTAAGTGATGGATAACTAAAATGTCTTTTAGCTCCCTTTATATTACCCTAAAACCACTATCTATTCTTCTAGAGCCAGGAAGGCCTCCTGGGGTGCAGACTCTCTGCACTGCTCATTAGCTTGATGGCTTTGTTTAACTTATATGTAAATGTACTTTCATTTTCCCCAGCCTGTAATAGAGCCAGTCAGTCAGGAGAATCCACATTCCTTTGTCTAGGGCAAGCTTGATTTATGCACTGCCTCCCAAACACATTTTAAGAACATATTTTCAGCACACACGTAATTCTTTATACACAACCCATATATACATCACACAAATGATTTTCAAATCCAGCCTTCTGCCAGTTTACATATGATACCTAACAAAACATCTTTTAAATATGTTATCACAACAGTGTGTTTGGGGCAGTGAGTGCGTCAGGCCTGATATGAGCTACACTATAGTGGGCCCTCAGCCAGTGGGCATTGAGGGGCTCTTAGGGTCAACAATTTTATTCTTGGGGCATTGTGAATTCACACAGGACTTGATCCAAAGCCCATTAAAGTGAGCAAAAAGACTCATCTACTTCATCGGGTTTTGGATCAGGTCCATATGCTGCATAAAGCCTGTTTTTAAACAACATAATTGTTTGATCTGCAGTAATTTTATGGAACCTGACTGGTACTTACTTTTCCAACACTTTTTTCTTCTTGGAAGGTGTGAACATCTCCAGTTGCAGACATAATTGGTTTATAAAAATGACAGCAAGGTAAAAGTAGGAATCCCAGATCTACAATAAACACAAGGTATTTGGTTATTTTCCATTTCTCAGCACTAACATTTTATGTCCACTCTAGATGCAATTTTTCAGTTGTACCTCTTGTCTTACTCTTCATTAGTAGAGCTGGTTACAATATTTTTGATTAAATGTTTTTTCAACCAAATATTCTGTTTTGTTGATGCTGAAATGTTTTGCGGAGACATCCTAATTTTGACGATATTTTTGGCGGGAAGGTTTCTGGGGTCCATGGTGGACTCTCCAGTCACAGAGACAAAGAGAACTGAATTTAAAACCTGATGATTTTGATCTGAAAACAGAAATTTTGACACAATTCTGTTCTGCAAAAACTTTCAAAAGAATTTAGTTTTCTCTAAGTGGAATGGACAGCTCTACTCATTACTGACACAACTTGCAAGCATCAATAGCTACAGTGTCTCAGCAAGGCAAAGATGAAGTAAAGCAAGGTAATATAGTTTGTTAGCATACTGCCCCATAACTGATTTCCATGCAAATGGCTCTGGGAGGATCAGCTGCTGAAACTTCTGTGAAGTAAAGATTTCTTAATGAAATGACATTTTTAAATATTAGCAATTCTAGGCCAGTGATTTTCAAACATTTGTACTGGTGATCCCTTTCATATAGCAAACCTCTGAGTGCAACCCCCCCCATCAATTAAAAACACTTTTAAATATATTTAACACCATTATAAATGCTGGAGGCAAAGCAGGGTTTGGGAGTGGAGGCTGACAGCTCGCCACGCCCCACATAATAACCCTCGTGACCCCCTGAGACGTCCCGACCCTCAGTTTGAGAACCCCTGCTCTAGGCCAAATTATAGCTGCTTTAATGTAGGTATGCAGGAGAGGAAAATAGGTGCAGGAGACAGCAATAACTGCTAAATAAGCCCGGGGAACAGTCAGTTAGCAGTTAATGATGTGGGCTTTAGCTCCTGCACATTCGCAGAGCTACACAAGGGAGCACTGGCTACATAGTTTCATAGTATCAAGTACTTCAGGCCAACATTCTCTCCAATGACTCCAGAGGCATAGCATGGACCTAGATTTTCAGAGATGCTGAGCCTCCACCACTGTACTTGAAATCACTGGCAGCATTGGGTGCTCAGCACCCCTGAAAATCAGACCATCTGCCTTATAACATGGCACAGCTAGAATAATACCTCCAACCACCACCGACTGGACTGTATGGTCACTTTCCCTCTCCCCTATGAGTAAACCTTTTAGGAGCCATCACTGAGCCTTTTGTTTTTAATCCCCTGAATATCATTCTATAACTGAGATTTAACACTCTGGCTATGGGTTATTACAGATACCACAGCTCACTGAACACAGGCTAATATCTTTAACAATATCCAGCATGACATGTCATAGCATTATAATTTTAACAGTACATGCCATATTAATTGTTCTTGAGAGAATTTAAAAAAAATCTAAAGCCATATTTTTGGTAAATATGCCAGGGAATAAGTAATAAAGTTCATTTTATTTTCTGAGAATCTTAAAATACGAGCAGAACAGAAAATATTTTCTGTAATCAAGAAACCTTGATCCAAAAAATATGACAGAAGCGCACTCTAAAGACTTAAAACCAGAAGTCAAACAAAAAGAATCCCAAGTACAAAACACATATCTATATAATTTTTAAACCAATCTCATGAGTTTTGAACAGCTGAGATTGGTAACACCGCAGGCATTCTAACAGCTCAGAAATTAGAGATAAATTTAATCCAAAGAGTAACAACGCAAAATCAAAAGAGCCACAGATTGACAAATTTTTGCACTACTTATGTCAACAAAGATATAATTTGGGGGAGCGCATTACCTTATAATCAAAGTTTTCATTTAGGAAGTTCTTACGAAGGGCATCCGAAAGATATAGGACTGTTGTAATAATAACACTGGTAACAGAAAAAGAAGTGTTACCTTTCATTAATTGGAAAAATGTGACTTCGATTCTTTAAGTACTAGGTCATTTTTCAATAAACTAAAGCAAGGTACCATGTGTAAACTAGAGTAAATACTACATTCTAAGCATATATGAATAATTGGATACCAATACAATCTGTCGCCAGAAAATACATATGGCAAGAAACAAATTGATGACAATATGTATAGTGCAGCTGTATGGACTGTGCTTGTGAAAACAGCTGTGGCAAGATAAAATTAACAGGAAAAATACATACCACATTATTGTGCAACCCAAACCACATAGATATATTATAATCTACATTGGTCCTATCAATGATTATGTATGCAATGAGCACAACTTGTTCTAAACATTCTTTTCAGTGTGTGCATGAAAGAATATTTAATATTGCACCAATTGCAAACATTATTTGCTGACAGAACAGACACAACACAGGCAGTAGTAGTGTAAATCACTGCAATGCAAATCTGCATCAAAAATACCTGAAGGAAGTACATCTATGGCTCTCTGTTTGGACCGCCAACAAGAGTGCAGTGATACTGCGATAATGATATTTTACCATATTGATACTTACCTTGAGGATATTAATCTATTCTATCTGGATTGAGATAGCCAAACTCCTTTCACATTATTTATCATTAGTACTCAGATGTTAGAAACTTTTGGCCACTCCAGTGCTAACCTGGCTTGAATGAAGAGGCGACAGAGACAAAAGTGCAGGTTTTGAACTCTATGAAGATGGAACATATTCCGGGACCATCTGAATACATACTGTTTGAATGAATCAAGATTTAGCTGACACCTGCTGTCCCTCTGTCACAATGCATCTCACTACACTGGGCTGCAGTGCTTTGTTCTCATTTGTAATCACACACAGTTTGTGAACTAACTGCAAAAGACATGAAAAATTGAAACTGAAGTAGTGCAAATACATAGCATATGTAAAAGGCCCTTAAATGGGGTATCTGATTAAACAGTGATACAGTTCTAAAAAAAATAATACTTAGTATTTGGGATAGAGCATTTTTCATCTTCAGAGAACTTAAAAATATATTGGATCATTAATCCACCATCACCTATTAAAGATAGATAAATATTAGTGTCCATTTTTTAGAGATGGGGAACCTGAAGCACAGAACTTCAGTGACTTGCCCAAGATCACAGAAGGAGTCAGTGTAAAAGCTGGGACTCCTGAATTCCTCGGTACCAATCCTGCGCTCTGACCATGAGACTATCCTTTATAGGAACCTAGAGGGCAAAGAGACTCAGCAGGCCCTTTCCTGCACTCTCCATATGGGCTATTGGCATTCATGGCTCTTCTTGGCTGGTGGCCTCATACGCAGTGCAATGTGGTAATGCATTGGGTTGTTTTGCAATGTTGTATCTGCTAAACCAAGCTCTTCATGTTAGAGTTTGACAAAGCAAAGTGACACACAGATGCTCATACATTTCCACCCAAAATATTTACCCAGCCTCTCTCTATAATTATCAATTTTTCTTCGTGCCCTTATTGGTGGATTTAAGGTCTTGGAATAAGACATTTTTCTCTAAGTATAGCTCAGAACTTCACTGGTTACAGAATTTGGGTTTCAATTCCTAACTTGCAAACTGGTCCTCCAATAATGCCAACCCCTTTTTTTCAATCTGTGAAGTGGCTGAATATCTGGAATGAATAAAATCATAGATCTCTTTTGGAACACTATCTTTGGTTCTCAAATTTCACTAGTTTTATGTGAACTTCTAATCACCATATTTATTTATTTTCTCAATAACTGTACTGCATCCTGGCTTCTTATTTGTCCAGATATCATTCCATGTTTGTCATTCATCTGTGTAGCTCATCCAAATTCCCCTCCAGTGGAGTAATCTCTGTATTACTTTGGAAGAGAATGTTAAAGAGCCTGTTAATGGATGAAGAAAATGGTGCTTAACCATCAGAGGTCAGAGCAGAAGCATCGAGGGGAAAAAAGCCAAACCTGCCATTTTTGTATTTGCACACTATTCAATTTTACAGATGTTTCACCAGCTGGGAAGAAAGAAGTTTTGAGAGAAAGAGGATATTCCACTGGATGAAATGATTAAAATAATTAAGCTTGGGTAACTATACCTATGTATTAATTACTATTATTATTATTTGCATTACCATAATGTTAGAAGCCCTAGTTAATGTAACAGAACCCCACTGTGCTAGGTGCTGTACAAACACTGAGCAAAAAGACCAGTTCTACACTAAAGAGCTTACAATGTAAGTAAAATTTCAGCTTCTAGGAAATTCTTAAATCCAAAATAATAAATCCTTGAAAAATGTGATTTAAAAGGAAACTATAATTTAGTCACAGTGCCACAAAGAATGCAAGTACATTGCTATGTCTATACTACATATATGTATTTATATCAGAAAGAATTATTTTTCTCTACATCACTTGTCAGCAGACTTTTAATACACATTCGAGAAGAATTTTAAAATGCCATTTCAAAGATTTTTTGCTAAGATTTCCTGAGAGAGCAGAATGGTAATAATGCAAATATTTGTTGCGATAGCTGACATCTCACTTGTTTACATGATAAACCAATGATACCATGTGCATTCTCAGTGGTTGATGAAAGGTGTGTCTATGAATAGCCTGTATGTGTATATCAACATGGAACTAGATAAAAATCATTCAGCTGAGTGGAGTACATGAAGATGAAACCATAGAATCTTAGATATGTAGGGCTGGAAGGGAACTTGAGATGTCATCTAGTCTATCCCCCTGAGCTGAGACAGGACCACATATACCTAGACTATCCCTGACAGGCGTTTGTCTAACTTGTTTTTAAAAGCCTCCAATGATGGAGATTTCACAACCTTGTACGACACGCCTGTTAATACACCCCAGAATTATATTAGCTTTTTTTTTGAAACTGCATCACGTTGTTGACTCAGATTCAATTTGTGATCTACTATAAACCTCAGCTTCTTTTCAGTAATACTACCGCTTAGCTAGTTATCCCCCATTTTGTAGTTGGCATTTGATTTTTCTTTCCTAGTGGAGTACTTTGCACTTGTCGGTATTGAATTTTGTCTTGTTGATTTCAGCTCGATGCTCCAATTTGTCAAGGTTGTTTTGAATTAGCAAAGCTTTTGATACGGTCTCCCACAGTGTTTTTGCCAGCAAGTTAAAGTAGTATGGGTTGGATGAATGGACTATAAGGTGGACAGAAAACTGGCTAGATGGTTGGGCTCAACGGGTAGTGATCAATGGCTCCATGTCTAGTAGGCAGCTGGTATCAAGCGGCGTGCCCAAAGGGTCAGTCCTGGGGCCGGTTTTGTTCAATATCTTCATAAATGATCTGGAGGATGGCACGGTTTGCACCCTCAGCAAGTTTGCTGATGACACTAACTGGGAGGAGAGGTAGATATGCTGGAGGGGAGAGATAGGATACAGAGGGCCCTAGACAAATTAGAGGATTGGGCCAAAAGAAATCTGATGAGGTTCAACAAGGACAAGTGCAGAGTCCTGCACTTAGGACAGAAGAATCCCATGCACCGCTACAGACTAGGGACCAAATGGCTAGGCAGCAGTTCTGCAGAAAAGGACCTAGGGGTTACAGTGGACGAGAAGCTGGATATGAGTCAATAGTGAGTCTTTGTTGCCAAGAAGGCCAATGGCATTTTGGGATGTATACGTAGGGGCACTGCCAGCAGATTGAGGGACGTGATTGTTCCCCTCTATTCGACATTGGTGAGGCCTCATCTGGAGTACTGTGTCCAGTTTTGGGCCCCACACTACAAGAAGGATGTGGAAAAATTGGAAAGCGTCCAGCAGACGGCAACAAAAATGATTAGGGGACTGGAACACATGACTTATGAGGAGAGGCTGAGGGAACTGGGATTGTTTAGTCTGTGGAAGAGAAGAATGAGGGGGGATTTGATAGCTGCTTTCAACTACCTGAAAGGGGGTTCCAAAGAGGATGGATCTAGACTGTTCTGAGTGGTAGTAGATGACAGAACGAGGAGTAATGGTGTAAAGTTGTAGTGGAGGAGGTTTAGGTTGGATATTCAGAAAAACTTTTTCACTAGGAGGGTGGTGAAGCACTGGAATGCGTTACCTAGGGAGGTGGTGGAATCTCCTTCCTTTGAGGTTTTTAAGGTCAGGAATCTCCTTCCTTTTGAGCTTTTTGACAAAGCTCTGGCTGAGATGCTTTAGTTGGGGATTGGTCCTGCTTTGAGCAGGGGGTTGGACTAGATGACCTCCTGAGGTCCCTTCCAACCCTGTTATTCTATGATTCTATGAATATTAAAGGCCCAACTGCAAACTATCCCAATGCAAAGGAAAGATAGGGAGAATAAGAAGAGGCCAGCATGGCTCCATTGGGAGATTTCAGTTAGGGGTGCAGAAGTAAGGATGGCATGGTATGTCAGCAGCCACCACTCTCTGGCTGCCCAGCTCTGAAGGCAACAATGCAGAAGTAAGGGTGGCATGGTATGATATTGCCACCCTTACTTCTGCGCTGCTGCTGCTGGGGAACTGCCTTCAGAACTGGGCACCTGGCCACCAGCCGCTGCTCTCCAGCCATCACTCTCTGGCCACCCACTTCTGAAGACAGCACAGAAGTAAGGGAGGCCTCCCTAAAGTAACCACTGCTAACTATTCTCTAAGTAAGGTTTGCAACCAGTTTTGTACCCACTTTCTAGTAATTTCATCTAGACCACACTTCCCTAGTTTGCTTACAAGAATGTCATATGAGACTGTATGAAAAGCCTTACTAAAGTCAAGATAGATCACATCTATAACTAAGGAGACCAGATAGCAGGTGTAAAAAATCAGGATGGTCCTGATTATATCAGGACATCTGGTCACTCTATCTACAATTTCTACGCATCCACTAGGCCAGTAACCCTGTCACTGAAGGAAATTAGGTTGGTTTGTCATGATTTATTCTTAATAAATGCATATTGGCTATTACTTATTAATCTATTATCCTCTA